TCGAGGACCAAACACTTTATGACTGCTCTGCACTCAAGCTTGTCCATTTCTGCCGTTTCAATTGGGGTACATGTGTGATTAGATGTCACGTGACCGGAAACTAGCGACGTGCATGTCAATATTACGTTTATGTGAATGATATGAGCCATTCTTCAATATCATAAGTAGTTTTGTCATGCGCATATCAGATGTATTTTAGGCCCAAAACCTTTTGATAGCCCCTCGTAAATCTCATTGCGGAACGGTACTCCTAGCTGTAGCTGGCTGTGTGATATTGTACCAAGTTTTTATCTGGCATTGAACGTTTGAACCGGTTCCTTACAGAAAGCGGATGTAAATGAGAAATTAGTACTGTATACGTCAATTAAAAAGAAGAATATAATTTCGGTACTGAATATTTCAAACCTGCAAATCTGAAAACGTGATATTTGGCAGGTCACTATAGTGTCCATCACACATCTGATTTATAGTTTATTTCTAGTGGGTACATTAAGTGGTAGGTACAATCGGTGAAATGAAGATACCATGGCCGTTGTCTTTGTTTAATACCAACGTGATCATTTCAAAACATTTAGTTAGAAAAACAATTTGCAATGAATCAACGTATATTATCGTTAATTTATAACACAGAGCGTTGTGCTGCTGCATTGGGTGCGTGCGTGAGTGCGTGAGTGCGTGTAACACTAACAGCGTTTTAAGTTTCCTTTGTGGCAATTTTCCTTAACAGGTCAAGATTTAACATTCTTCACCAAATGTCGTCATCGATTAATGAATGTCTGCACGAACACGTTTTGTTTAAAGAACTGCGGACATCATAAAAAGAGTTATCACGTGTGCTATCTTAGAATTTACGCAAATGTGAAAGCCTTGAAACAAGGTTACGTCACCAGTTGAGAATCTTTCACGTGTTATAATATCTTGAAACGTTATAGACATTTTACAACATTAAATTGTCAAAGACAAGTGACAAGAACACGTTCCTTTGTCAGGTACAGGTGTATAGGATATTGATCCTTTATGACAGATACATTCCTCGAGCAATATAACTGCCCGATATTATTCATATACCTTTTGTCAACAAGTTCAACACTTACCGGTTGTTTTCATAAACATTTTCGTTTTAAGCGTGTATGTGTAAAATATGATTCCCTAAGGCAATTTATAAAATGCCTAGATATTACAGATCAATAAATATTTTTTGAAATTCCAAAGTGCACAATATGATTCATTATGCTAAGATTATGAGCCCAAAATAACAAGACGTAAATTGACTTCCGTTTTCTTTCAATCCAGACACCTTCAGTCACTGGGAGATGAAATCAAACTTCAACATGTTTGGAATCATGATAAACTAGATGGACATATTTTGCAGCGAGTTTTAAACCTTAAGGAATCACAGAGATGACAATATTTCCTAAGACGAAACTTTATTTCCAAACAGTGTCGATTTACTATCAATTGCCCTTGCGGAAAAGGCGTTGCAGAGGTCGCGAACCAGTCATGACTCATGTCATCCGGGTACCAACTGGAACAAAAACAATAACAAAAGCATTAACTACTCCCGGTGACTTGTTGTAGATCAATGCCCCTTTAATTTTGATATCGACCAAAGGGCGCCATTGCACAGTGTCCTTTGTTGAAACAGTATCGTCTAGATTGCATGTTGCATCGTGTGCCTGTCGTCACGAAATGATCAGATCCAACTTGGAGCGTCATCTGTAAACTGTCAGGCACAAGGATGACTCAAATGTGTTGAGGTGTTCTATATACTCAACCAAAAATACAGTTTAGCACGCTGCACTAAATTGTCCTTACAGATATAATCAATGTTCTCATTAGTCTGAACCTGATACCTGTAAACTTGTGACACCTGTGGAATTGCTGTGTGACGAGAGAATTGAAAGTCACGTGCATTTGTCTGTGATTTTCGTGGAATTCACGTGAAACACATTTTTCATGTCTCAAAAACAATGAAAATCATCCCGTGGCCGATGCATTATTGCATACCCACTGAGACATTCTCCTGAAAGGATAAAACATTTTTAAAGTTTGAAAATCAACCATGGGACGCAGAGGAGGCATGCCTGAAAATCAGAGACATGAAGCGATTGGGAGACTGAATGCTGGTCAAACAATTACAGACGTAGCGCGTCATTTCAACGTGCACAGGAGCAAAATTTCACGTCTCCAGACACGTGTACAGCAGACCGGTCATGTCAGAGATCGGCCACGCTCCGGCAGACCCCGTAAGACCACACCCCGGGCAGACCGATTTTTGGTGACGTCATCACGACGTCACAGGTTTACAAGTGCTCCAAAGTTGGCTAGACAGTTGCAACAGGCCACCGGCACGACTGTTCATCCCCAAACGGTAAGGAACCGTTTGCACACAGCCTGACTGTTTGCCCGACGTCCAGTGGTTGGAGTTCCATTGAGTCAACGTCACAGACAGGAACATTTGCAATGGGCACGTGCTCATCGGCGCTGGCGTCGTCAACAATGGAACCAGACATTATTCACTGATGAATCACGTTTCTGTGTGGAATTTGCAGATGGACGACGCAGAGTATGGCGTCGAGTGGGTGAACGTTTTGACGCCAATAACGTCATCGAACGTGACCGCTATGGAGGAGGCAGCATCATGGTTTGGGCTGGGATCCATGCAGGAGGAAAGACAGACTTGATTCTTGTCCCAGGAAACCTGAATGCACAACGTTACTGCGACGAGATCATCAGACAAACTGTCATCCCATTCACGCAACGAAATCCCGGCTTTACGTTTCAACATGACAACGCTAGACCGCACACAGCCATTCGAACAAGAGATCTTCTTCGGCAACACAACATTCAACCTCTACTTTGGCCAGCAAGATCCCCAGACCTCTCTCCCATAGAGCATGTGTGGGACATTCTCGGCAGGAGGGTCAGAGAACATCACCCCCTTATTGATAATTGTTGTGACCTTGAAAATGCCCTCATTCGTGAATGGGGTAACATTAACATTGGTGAGTTGAGAGCAGTTGTTAACAGCATGAGATGGCGATGTACAGCTGTAATTCAGGCCAATGGAGGTCACACACAATATTGACGTTTTTGGAGCAATACCCCACTCTTGATTTTGGGGTCATAGTGGCGTTATGGAGAACAATGAACACAAGTCTGAGTGATTTTAAAATGGAAAAATGAAATGTAAAACCAACATGATTTGGATATACAATATATTTTTGGTACCACATGATTTTTGTCATTTTTTATACCAACGTGCTAAACTTTTTGGGTTGAATATATAAAAGCGGCGTAAAACCAAACTCAGTCAGTCAGTCAGTGAGGTGGATCTCATCCTTTGAATGAAATATGTACAGTGTAGTTACATGTCATTTACCACAACGCCGAATAACAAATTCATCTTGACGAGCTAGTCCAGTTTATGAATTCAGTTCCAAAATGGGGTTAATGGAATGGAAGCTTATTTTACACTTGATCATTTAAATTTATTTTACACTTTTAGCTACAAAATAGGCTACAGGGCAGCCCCTTACGACGCCTTTATCAGGCATTGACAGTTCCAGATGGTGACTTTAAACTACAGCTGAAAAGGATGGTTTTGTTTACGGCTTTCATAGAATGTTAACAGGATAAACTATCTGTTAAAATGATGAAATTGCTATATTAAGAGTTTTCAATATATTGCAAGATTAATGAAATTATCATAGCTTCAGCAGTAAAACAGAATATTCGTACGTTAACTTCAGAGAAAACGTGTTATTCTCAGCAACGGTATCTGCTCATACCTCACCTCCATGTTTCGATCTTTCTGCGTAAATAACTTCCATAGATTTCTAAACTTGAGACAGATCTGAATGACAGGTGACAGGTATTTAACATGCGCTTCTAACAGGTGTCTAACGCGTAGGCCTACATAACAGCAGTTTACATATAGTAAAACGCAGTATCATATTATGAGTAAGTGAGTGTGGTGTAACGCCTCTGACAGTGTTAGGATGAGTGAGTGAGTGAGTGAGTATGGTTTTACGCCGCTGTTAGCAATATTCCAGCAATATCACACGGGGAACACCAGAAATGGGCTTCACACATTGTACCCATGTCGGGATTGGAACCCGGGTCTTCAGCGTGACGAGCGAACGTTTTAACCACTAGGCTACCCCACCCGCCCAGACAGTATTAGAGTTATTTTATGGTGTGTCAGCTCACTGTAGGGGAAGACATGTAAAACATGAGAGCTTTGTATGGCCCTGACAAACTTAGAAACAAAATGGGAGCGAGATTCGAACCCACAACCATGAGTTTCTAGCGAAAACAAAGTTTGCAACTGAGCTGAGTGACTTATGCCACCTGGACTACCTCTCCGATGTTGTTACATAAAAGCACCATGTAACACCTGCAGAATCCCCCTTTCTATATTCCAAGACAGTCTTGGTTCCATTATCTACCAAATGACTGAGGAACATCAGTGATATATACCGATCCTTTGAAACTGGATTTAGTTGAGATCCGTGTTCACAACACAGAATGAAATTTGAAAACAATGAATGAAATAATATATTTTTAAACAACAGCCGCTTTGTTGAATTGAGTAAAACAGTAATAGTGTTGCAAAAGTACACACATGCATTATTCTTTTCTTCTGCTGTTTTAGCGACATTTAATGTTTTGGTTTTGGGATAGTTCAATATTGATATCACAAAGGAAACGTTACACACACACCCCTACATAAAAAAATAAAAATAAAATCCGTTCTACCACCCATATCTTTTAAAAAGTGATGAGAAACAAGACATAGATTTTATGTGGCCTAAGGAACAAATGTAATGTTAGTGAAAGCGATAATATTTTCTAGTTTCTGTGAAATGTTCCAATATTTCACAAACCTTTACAAACAGGATGCAAATACACAATTTTAAATGCTGATAAATCTCCTCTCAGCACACATCCATGGTGTTGTTCAGTTCCTGGTCTGGACAAATGACAAACAGACAGTATCTCATATACATCTTTATCCCACCCTACTGGTATCAACATTGCACATCAGACAAAACATCCACATCTAAATAGATTCATTCACATCTACAGGTCAACATCGTCTGTGTTCCATGTCACCAACAACCTGAATATCTCTTAGTCTTACCATCAATGGTGACAAATCATTAATTACAACCACTGTACCAAGTTTCTTTGCTTCAGGCCAGGTTATTTTAAATATTTGTTTAACAGACTCGCTGATCATTTCTTTGCCATATCATACAAAATATAGAACATTCACCTGGTGCTATTAGGATGTATCTATTGCTTGATCAACCATGGTAAAAATCTTACATGAGAATTAATTATTGTATCAAAGAATAAAATTACCACATACAATGTACTACACAAGTCCCTTTCAGGAGAACAGACTAACAATACCTTCAGCAGTCAACATTCCTTAGCACACCCAGCTTAGTCAACTTTTAATGAATCCAGCCTCCACATAGGTCTACACTACACCTTGAAGTGGTCTTCAGGTCTCAGGTTTTACAGCACTGTTGTAACAGAACTTGATTGACCAGTTGGTTGAGCAGAACCAGTTGCTCACAACTCTCATTTGTCACCTCTCACACATACACACTGTCATGCTCAGTAGCCCTTCCTTCCACGGAACCTGCTGCGCATGTCCAGCTGAAATGAGAAAATGGACATTCTCTTTTACATTTATATCACTGTTAAGGTGTTAGCTGTGATAGTATGTGTGTGTGTGAGTTCGATTTCACGCAACTTTTAGCAATATTCTAGCAATATCACGGAGGGGACACCAGAAATGGGCTTCACACAGCTGTGATAGTAAAATTTTGTTGTGATCTTGCAAATCTTCAGTACTGGTACATCACAAGTTACTTCCAATGTATAAAATGGGGAGATAACAATAAATCAAGTTTGCTGTTAGAAATGTTCATGAGTGAGTTTAACACCGCCATATTCAAGAGATCGTCATGTTGGGTGTAAGTCCTCAATGAAGTCAGTCTCAGCTGTGACACCTTTGGTGAAACCCTAAGGCATGGATATAGTGAGTGAGTGAGTTTAGTTTTACGCTGCTTTTAGCAATATTCGAGTAATATCACGGTGGGGAACACCAGAAATGGGCTTCACACATTGTACCCATGTGGGGAATCGAACCTGGTTCTTCGGCGGGACAAGATTGCTTTAACCACTAGGCTACCTGACCACCCCTTTATGGATATAGTGATGACAGGTCTAGAAAAGTAAATGGGATGACCTGGAATTTGAATCCCAGATCATATGTTTGCTGCATGCCCTTGGAACATAACTCTGCAATTGAAATTCAGCACCTTAGATGACTTTGCTATCATGACAATGCATTGACATTTCAGATGCCAGCTCCAATATCATATGTGCGGACATCTCTGTTGAAACATCACAACAGTGTTAAAAAAGGAAGTCTTCCATACAGATATCTTGCTATTAATAGGGCTGAAACGGTATACCGCGGTACTCGGTATTTTCGGTTTTAGTACCGTCATTTCTATCTTGTCATAAAATGACAGTTTTGTTCATTCAAAATAACAAAGATTATGGTTATTTTTTTATCCATGTTATTAAACAATGAAAGGTTTGGCTCTTGTCAATTTATCTCATAGACCAAACCGAAGGCTTGGTACCGCAATACGTACTGTACCGTGGTTGACCGTACCGTTTCACCCCCTATCTAGTAACCAATTTCTAATAGGCAAACAACCCGTAAAGATCCAGACTTGATTATTCACAGACCGCCACGATATATTTGGAATATTGCTGAGTGCAGCATAAAACGAAACTCTCACTCACTCAAATAGGTAAACAAAAGAAAACAGACCACAAAAATAGCTCTTACGATTGATCGTTTACACTCGAAGAAAGCTGTCCGGAGGTTGTGACACTTGTTGGGTATGCTGGGATGGTGGCCGAGCTGTAGACACTCCCTGGGCGTCTTACCGTCCTGTATCAGGACACAGGGAAGTCATAACGACAGGTCATCATTTTCACAATGCAATGATCAACTACACTCTTTATTATTTTTTCTATAAACAGATTCAACTTCCACAATAACAAAATGAAATAAAATAACATCATAACAGAATGAAGAATTTGTCATCCATGAAAGAATCTTGCCTTTATTGTTATGTATACACATCAGCTTCTAAAGTGCCAGATATAAAGTGTGGCCCAACAAAATGAGTAATGCGATGATTGACAAACTAAACAATGACATACTCTATATTAACTCAAGTATTTATCAATTTGATTTTAAAAATGAAACGTTGAAAATTTAAAAAAAAAATTCAGTAAAATCCACAGTATATTAGCATAGTGAGTGGTTAGTGAGTGATTAGTGGGTGTTGTTTTCTGTCACAGTAAAAAGTACTATAGCTATATATCACGGTAGTCTGAAAAAGTCCTCCAAACACAACCAATGACTGATATGAGCAGAAACCACTGGGTCATGATGACCGGGAGGGCACAAAGCCATCCTAGCTTAGTTTTTTAGTTTTTTGCACAAATGTACAGAACACAAAACCATAGGTTTTCAACTTTATAGAATTAATGTCAGTGGCAGTTTGGGACACAAGTTTCGAATTGTTGGTCTGAACAAAAGAAATCCAAGCAAAAACCAACAACATTTCATCAGTAGTGCACCCTTTTACTGAAGATGCCAAGGTGCTCAGAAATAAATTTGGTGTTAAAACGAACTATTCCATTCAGAACAGACACTTTATCATATTAATGTGTGTTTTTTTAGAAATGTAGACATCATCCTCTCAGAGCTTTTTTCACCACAGAGAACTTAGAGAAGCCTAAACACTGATTTGCTGACGGGAAGCTTCACCTGATATGACCTTCAACAGAGGCGTTATCAGATCCTTACAGAGTGAGTGAGTTATCAATCAGTCAGAAGTGAGGATCCAAGCTATAATGATATTAGAGTCAGAGTTATTTTCCAACAACAGGCCATAGGTCAAAAATACATAAAAATAATACAGTGTCTTCAGGGGCACAATGATTTTTCAAGAGTGTTTAAAATAATCCTTTTAACATTGAATAGATATAAAGGAACAGATTTTACAGTATCTAAGTTCGTATTCTGGAAAAGATTAACTAAAGAATATAAAGTGTAAGGCTTTTTAACACATTTTGTAATATACCTCTCTCTTAGTTGTGATTCACACATGAACAATACACGGAATTCATCTTCAATATACGTTAGACCTTTAGATTTACATGATATATCTTTGATTATAGTCAGTGTTGATATGACACACCTGTTTTTACAGCTATCTTAAAATTACTACACCTAAATTGTGCTAAAGCAACTCTTAAATGGGTAGAAAGGTTAAACACTGACTGACTGACTGAGTTTGGTTTTACGCCGCTTTTAGCAATATTCCAGCAACATCACGGCGGGGGACACCAGAAATGGGCTTCACACATTTTACCCATGTGGGGATTCGAACCCGGGTCTTCGGCGTGACGAGCCAACGCTTTAACCACTAGGCTACCCCACCGCCCTGAAAGGTTAAACAATAAATAACATTCAACACTTGATCATGTTAATACTGACTTAAAATACTGATAATAGTTGCATTGGAGGAATTACTCAAGCAAGAGTACCAAGACTGTTTTAAATTATCTGATAATCTTTGCTATGTAATGATTTTATCTGCTATTCAACATTCCACGCTACCTTCATCACACAGTCACTCTTCAGCAGACAATCTAAGAGGTCTTCTCGGATGCCAGAGCAGGCTGTCTTTGGTTTGGGTTCCTCCCCTTCCTCTTCCGGGTAGTACTTCGGCATGGTCACAGAACCTGACAGAGAGTAAATGAGTGATTGATCTGTTTCATTGGCATTTTAGAAGTTGATGGATAATAGAAACGTCGCATCATAAGAAATAAAGAAGTTGTTATCCATAAAGTATTATACTTTTCTAAGCGAGTGATTGTTGATTTAAACAGGTATAAGTAGTACTTCAGCACATAGTGGCCTGTGAATGTAAAGCTAACATAATTAAGTCCATTTAGGCATGATGACAACACTGAAAATTCAAAATATCAGTTATAGTCTTTTCTGTGAATTTATTTGTTAAAAGTTAATTAGTAATAATAATGATAATAATAAGTAAATACTCATGAACTGGTTATATATTTCTGCATCATGCATAATAGTAACACAGCATTATTTATATTATTTGTCACTAATTTGAATAGAGTTGTTACAATTTTAGATGATGGTTGCCCTCATCTCATAAGCCATGATGTGTTCGTTCATAAATATCATTCAGAAAATGTCAACTTTCAAGCTCAGTTGATAACATTATATAATCGTGTACATGTGGTGTTTTAATATATTTATGGCCATCAGATATAGTTTCTCCGAAAAAGAACATAACGAATGGACGTTGTAAGTTATTCATTATGATTGCATGCTTTGAGTTTCAAAATGTACTGACTTGTGACAAAATCAATGTGTTCTTGAAGCACTCACAATTAGAGTTATACCCCTTTGATAAGAGAGGGGAATTGTGGGATGACTGAGCATGCGCACTGCTCAAACTAGGAGTTGTATCAACTTCCGCTTTGTTGTTCCTGCAAAGTTGTGAGAAGTGACACTTATCATAACGATGCATTTACACTGGCTTTAATACAGACTTGTTGGGAAGCAGAACGTTTATTTTAATCTGGTGTAAGTATACAATTGTTCCGACATGATTATGCTCTGGGTCATGTAATAATTTTGATGAATTATGTGTTGACGACGTGGCTTGTTATGATTTCGTCAAAATCCTGTTCCCTTGTAATATATGTTGCGCTTCAGCTACTTCTGGTGCTAATAGTTTTTTTACTGCTTCATTAATTTTTGTGAAGGTCTGTCAGATCCCCGCATTAATACATTTCGAAGATTCCCTTGGAACGTCACTGCGTCCAACGCCACTTACATTGCTGAAGAAAACAGGTCGCTCAGTGACAAAAACTTCATTGATTATACATGTCAGATAGAAATGGAAGCAAAATCCAGAAAATTCGTCTGACAAACCATCTCACAAACAACCTGGACAGTTAAGATTCTCAGCTTTGGTGCACATTTATCATGTTTATCTCAAACATTCTCAGTCTCACGTTTTGACATATCATATTTTCCTTATAATGCCAATCGGAAAGATAATGTTATTTTGTTCCAAAATTTGTATTTATTTTCATATCATTGTCTTAATTTTAGAGGAATTTTTCTGCTATAATCTATGCAATAATGTAAAATTACTCGTTAACACATCCTCCACGTTATGTTATCATGGCTATAGGCATTGCAGTAATTTCCTGAAGAGTTTGTGGTCCTCAGATTGAGAAATGTGGTAAATCAAAGAAAAGGATATGCTTTATCCCTAGTCTTAGTGTGGTCTTATTAATTATGTTATGAATAATACATTAATTTAGATGCAGATCAATATGACATTTTAAGCATTTCATATATGGTAATCAGACATTTTCAAAATTTGTCAGCAATGAAGATTCTTTCTACTGAGCAACATCAGTTAGAACACATGGAATCTGTATGACTTTAAAAAGTATTGGTAAAGCACTGAACCTTGCCTGTTAATCCTGAACCTTGCCTGTTAAATCTTAAATTGTCGACAGGCAATATAGCTCATGCCTTTTAGCATGTATAGTCTTGTTGGGATTATTTGGATATAAGCACAAAGTTATGTCTATGAGCAGCACTAAAGCCTTTTTACCCACATAATTAAAGTTTGCAAAAATAATTTACTTGCCTTAATGTGAAATGGTAACCCTTCTGTCTCTATATTATGTTTTGTCTTAGTCTGGTTTTGTGTAGATAGCACAATGATGTTTTTTAAATTATGACAATATATATCCAGCTGCATTGGTTAGTGTACATAACACAACATATCATGGGACCCTCTATTATCGCGGTAGTTAATGTTGTCGCCATCGGGATTATAAACGGGTACTGACATTTAGCATTTTATATATATTTTCAGTTGACTGATGTTAAATCATCATTTCTGTCTCAAATAATGTGACACATAGTCACAACTCCTTTAATACCATTGCGGCAATTCTGATTGTCTCGTTTGACCCGGAAATTGAAGCAACTCTCTGTTATTGCGGTATTGCTATTTTCTTACTATGGCATGCTGTACAAGCAGATGACACTGTTAAACGTTTACTAAGACAAGAAATAAATCTAAATAGTTTGATCATTAAAAAATATTTCGGAATTTCATTCACATTAGTAATAACATCATGTTTTTAACCCAAACGTCTGAAACTTCTATTCATTTGGATACAAGGTAACAATAATGTTGCAAAATATTGTTTTTCCGCCTTAAAACGTACCATACAAGTTGCTGCTGTGTGTAGAGTGAAGTTGCATAATACGTCACTTCCTGTTATATTTTTAGCACGGAAGTAAGACAAAGTAAGTTTTGATTCGTGCTAGATGTAATGGCAGTAGGGGTCATTCTAGTTTCAAAATGTTCTAGAACTTGCTGAAAAAATGAATGCTTTAATATTTCTACGATTAGACATGACATTCCAATGAAATAAATGACTTTTTCAAGAGCGATGAATATATTTACATAATTTGCATATGTAAACAGCTGATGCTTTCCTGATGTTTTCGCGTGCCGCGATAATAGAGAGTCCCACTATACTACAAAATGGCACTTTAGCCTTTAGTCAGTCTTATTGTTCACTCTGCATCATTACATGTCTACAGCCTTTTTCAAACAATTTTAGAATTTTATGGAGCTGTTGCCATGTAAGACTGCTGATGCTATGAATAGTGTGGGTTCAAGTCAACCAAAAAGTACTGGAATCTGTATTTTATAGGGAAAGTGAAATTAGAAAAAATATCCCACCTCATGTAGGGAATGTTTTCTTGTTCTCTTTCGACCTGGGGAGTGGAAATGACATGGAACAAAGTTTTCAATCTCTGTGAACAGCTCACCTACACACACACACTCAGTGACTCACCACACCACCCCAGCACCAATTACTGGTATATGACATCACTGGAAGCTCATGCAGAACATGATACCTGCCCAGGTTGTTCATCTGACCTCCAGCTGTGTTCATTCCCTTTCTTGTCATACATGGATGCTTATGGACAGTTTTGATTTAGATGTTCTTGTATACAACAAATATCATGTGGGGTTATATTCTTGAGTTATTTTGGTAACTAAGAAGATGGTTGTGAAGCTCTACAATCTAGTTTTAAAGGAAGTGTAAAGTCCGCTCCAATTGCAAGAAAGGGTTTTCATCTTTTGAACCAAAGAAAGAGATTCTAAGCATAACATCAGAGATGCCAATCTCTACGATTTTATCATAGTCGCTACGAATTTTAGCCTCAAATATGATTGCACTCGAATTTAGTAGAAATTCTATGAAATTTGAAGAAAATTCACTAAAATCGGATATGTAGACTAAAATATATATTTTCGTCGATTAAATACATTTTCGTCAATAAGACTATTAAGAGATTACAAGAAGAAATGGTAATGCTGATAATTTGGAGATCTGCTGCTGGAGGTATGTGAAAATACAGCTTCACTCTTGATTGGTGTCAATGTCATGTTATCTTTCTCAGAAATCCATCATGATTTTAAGTATTTAGTTAACTACTAATTTCATTGTCAAACTACTAATTCTTATCCTTGAAACTACTATTTGTAACACTCTGGGGTTGGCGTCTCTGGAAGTGTTCAGTTCCTCAGCCACCAAAAAATCAAATTGAGTTGGAAAAGGCTCAACATTCATCTATGGTTAAACAATTATGACAGAGGATGATTTCTTAGACACACCTTCTGATTTGTATCTCTGCAAGAACTTACACTGTTTGTTCTAGCCCCCTGATGTCTTGAGGGGTAGCCTAGTGGTTAAAGCATTTGCACGTCGTGTTGAAGACACAGGTTTGTTTCCCATTCTTGGTGTCCCCCCACCATGATATTGCTGGAATATGCTAAGTAAAAGCTGTGTAAAACCAAACTCACTCACTGTGTCTTCAACGCCTTCATATTACACATTTTGTATCTGTTTTCAGGATCATTGGCAAACATGTCGTACACAAAGATGTCTCCTCCAGTATCCCCCACGGGGTCCCCTCCCTCCTCACCTCTCAGTAGCTATGGAAACGGCTTCAGTGGACCCTCCAAGTCAGAGGCTAGACTGACAGCGACTGCAAAGAGACGAAAATATTTCCGACGCTTGTTCAAGTTTCGTCAAATGGACTTTGAATATGCTTTCTGGCAAATGGTGTTTCTGTTTTCATCCCCACAAAAAGTGTAAGTTGTTGAAAAAAGTTCTATTTTTTCTATATTTACTTGTCAGATTATGTTCATATGTCTGTATTCAGGTAGGCAAATGCAGAGCATCACAGTATATTAGCATGAGTAGCAAATCATATATCCTTACTGAACTTGCTGAAGGGATAATAATAATAATGCATATTTATATGTGCGCCCAATCCACCTCAACAGGCATGCTCAAGGCGCTACAGAGTCAAGTACAGTCAAATCCCGATGAGTCGAATCGCTGGGGACCAAGTAATAAATTTGACTTATCGATGTATTCGAGACATAGGTATGTCTATGATGAGGGTAGAAAAAAAAATGATGATCGAATATTGAACAATTCCTTTATTCAGCACATGATATTAAAATATAGCACAACAATACATTAGGTGACATAGATAATGGAAACAAACAGTATATAAATGAGAACACATTTCAATACTAGTACAATGAAATACAAAATACCTCTTAAAATCTATGAACAAAATCTATCGGCAGTCGATAGATATACATGGCGCCATCTTGAATCTTGTTACTACAAAAAGACGAACTCACTTCTGGAAAAAGTCTGACATTATTGTTTGTTTCTGTGAATTTCCCTTACATTTATCCACAAATTCGCAGACGCTTGCCAAGTGGGAAAAATGTTCATTGTTTGTACCTGGGACTGACTCGAGAAATTCCTCCGCCATGATATACAGATCATGAATAGTAATAACCGAATGAAAGCTGCTATATAACGCAACCGATTTGATTGAGTTAACTCAATGTCATGTGCTAATTCTTCCGTTTCCGTAAAATCACTAATCTGCCTTTTGAACTCACCCGACAATAGCGGAAAGTTGCGAGCCGCACTGGTTTATTAATTGGATCAGTTAGCTATGCCAATTATCTTCTCATTGACTGACTTCGGCTTATGTATACAAGATTACTGTTGTTTGAATCTCATGGGACCAAATTTCCTTTTCGAGTCATCATGTGTATTTATGAGACGAATTCGTGTAACCAGTATTCAAATGATGACAACTATAACAGGGAATGGTCGGGACCAACAGGTACTTCGAGTTATGCATAATATTCGAATATTCGGGATTTGACTGTATGTACGTATGTACAGAAGTAATACTAGAGCACATTAAGGGAGATACTGCTGGAAGAAGTAGGTTTTAAGTTTGGACTTGAATAAGTCGAAATTGTCAATAGTTTTGAGGTCATAAGGAAGAGAGTTCCAGAGAGTAGGGGCTGCATAGGTGGAAGAACGCTGTCCAAAAGTTTTCAGTCTGAAGGAAGGCACAGTGAGCAGATCCTGGCTGTTGGAACGAAGATTGCGTGAACTGGAGTATGATGACAACATATTAGACAAGTACTGGGGAGCAAGACCATGCTTGGCTTTGTAGGTCAGACACAGTATCTTATGCTCAATTCTGGCTTTCATGGGCAACCAGTGAAGCTCCTTCAGTACTGGCTTGATATGGCAGCATTTAGGGAGACGATAAATGATGTGGGCAGAAGTGTTTGGGATTTTCTGGAGTCTGTCACAGAGTTTCTGAGGAATGCCAAACAATACACTGTTGCAATTATCCAATCTTGAGGTTATGAGGGCTCTGACCAAGGCATGGGTAGCATCCACTGAGAGATAGGGACGGATGTTACTGATGGGACGAAGGTGAAAGTGGCAGGTTTTCCAAATCTGAGAGACTTGAGCTTCCATGGAAAGTGATGAGTCGAGGACAATACCCAGATCTGTTGCAGTGGAACAGATAGGGACGACAGCATCAGCTATTGTCACAGATCTGGTAGGGATTTTCGACAGCGGTTGTTTGGATCCAATCAGAAGAGCTTTGGTCTTGGTGTCATTTAGTTTCAGCATATAATCTGTCATCCAAGATTTGATGTGTCTTGTACAGTCAGAAATTCCAGCTAGACCGTCAGAGGGATTTTTGCAAGAAATTGCCTTGATGAGTTTGTTGTCATCTGCATATGAATGGTGCTGCAGATTGTGAGTTGAGATGCTGTCAGCAACTGGACCAGTGTACACAACAAACAACAGTGGACCCAGTACGGAGCCTTGTGGCACACTGTGTGGTACGGTAACGCTGTCTGATGTCTTGTTCCCGATGGCCACACATTGGCATCTGTTATGGAGATAGGACACAATCCACTGGAGGGCTGTTCCCAGAGATTTCATATCTAGTTTTGAGGACCTGTAGCTGGACACTGTGATCTATAGTGTCAAAGGGCGATGATAGATCTAGGAGTATCAAATCCCCTCTATCCACAATTTGTCTCAGGATATCACTGACATGTATGAGAGGGGTCTCAGTGTTGTGATGTTCCCAGTATGCAGACTGGTACTTGTCCACTAGGTCACACCTTGTCAGATGGTTCTTCAGCCTGACACTGACAGCCATCTCCAGGATTTTGGAGAGGAAAGCTAAATTGGATACTGGACAGAAGTTATTTTAGCTCAGACTCCTCAAGGTCGTGCTTTTTGAGTAGTGGTCGAACAAAGGATTTCTTAAAAGCTTCTGGAAATACACCTAATTGTAGGCTCTTGTTCACAATCTCAGTGATTATAGGAATGAGCAAGTCCAGGTGTTTCACAACAAGTTTGGTTGGCATTGGATCAGATTCACATGTTGTAGCCTTAGCTCCCATTACCAGTGATTTGACCTCCTTATCTGTGAAAGGCTCCAGGTTACTGAGAATATGTCCACTGAAAGTTGGACTTTCATCTACCTCAAGGGATGGTTAGTCATGTCAGTGATTGAGAACACCATATGCCCATGGTTGTCAATATAGTCTGTTTTTAAGGGAGATAAAGTTAAGGACCTTAACTTCTTCATTGTGAGGAGCACAGGCTTTCCGGGGTATATGCTTACTCTTTCGTCAGTTGACAAAGGAGTAAACTTGAACTCCAAAATGTTGCATTCCTTATCATAAAGATTTTGGTATATATTATTATGGGATTAGTGATTATGAAGATTATATGAGTGCTTACATCAGTTGCATCATGTTTAAGATTATCTTATCTTTATCATGTTTATTACTATGATTGTATATTTTACCAAGTTTATCTGTTATTAATTACAGGTATCGGAATTTCCAATATAGGAAACGTAAGTATTAGTTTCAAACTATTTTGGTGTTAGGTAATACAGGGATTTATCAAGGGCAGTTCAGAGGCTAAATAGAAGTAAAACATATGCAATATTCATGCTGAAGATGATGACGCATCAATGGTTTCATTTCAGTGAATGTAATCATAAACAGTTAATGTTAGGATATCTATGAATATATGCAAATATATAGTTTAAAGAAATACATTTTGATAATTGGCAACACATGTTTAACATGTAAAGAATATTTTTAAAGATACTCAGCCCTCCTATTACTGACATTACATTTCTTTCAGATACAAAAGATCAGTGGGCCAGGGATGATCCTGCCTTCCTTGTTTTACTCAGCTTCTGGCTACTAGGTAGGCCATTATACTATGAGACAAGTACAGCTGGATCTAATTGATTACAGCCCTGTTATTATTTCAGCATTTTTAAACCAGTGATATTTTAAAAAAATGTTAAGCCCCAACATGTTCAAGAACAGCAAATTGACAGCCCAAAAGAGCGATGTTTTGATTAGCAAAATGCGGTACTTTGTAAATCCAAGTATATGCATTATACCTTGTATAGTAAGTAGCAAAGAGGTCATCTGTATGTGATGCTTTTCCAGCATCATCTGTTGGTTTTGTTGCTGTGCTGGGACTCAGTGTAGTGGCTTTCATCAAGTTCTTCCTGTGGGTAGTGTTCTTGGACTGCATTGGAGTTGGACTGGTTATTGCAACCCTGCTATGGTGAGTACACTGTGTAACACCAAAAGATACATCATGGTTCATTGGTAGGATTAAAATCTGAGGGTCCCACAGGATTTACTTAAGTGTACAAAACTACTCCTGGGACATAAGATTAAGAGGGAGATAGGCAGTTTTTGGTAAAGTAATTAAAATTGTAGCTTGGTGTGTGGTGTGGTGTAGTGTACAGTAGGGCTGCCAATGAATCCACTGATGATGATTTTATTGGTGACCTCTTTTGACCTCTGGAGGTTTGTGTTCAGTGGAGAGAGAGTGAGTAGAGGGAGTCATCAATTTTGTACATAGAAATATTAAAGAAGTATGCTTAAAAAGTATGGGAGGGAGGGCATTGGTTTTGTAGGTGACACACTTACTTTGTACATAAACTTGGGGGTCATTAACATTTTACATGCTTCTCCATAAAAAATCATCACCAACCTACACACACACACACACCCACACACACACACACACACACACACAACCATAAATTATGAATGTCCCTTATTTATTTGTTGTTCTAAGCCATAGTTATCTCCCTTTTGACAATCAGCCATATTGTTTTAGATTTGCAATTGCCTCAATCTGTATCGAAACTGGAGTTAAGGCCTGCATTTCCTTGTATGCAAATGGCATGGTGGTGCCACATAGCGTGATGCAATTTATGCAATTCATGTGGAAAATATATATTTGGCGTAGACTTGAAGTTTTGGATGGAGCCTTGAGAAAAACTTGAAAAGGCGTTGATGTCAGTGACATGAATCATAACTATGTTCTAAATGCTAAGCTTGTTGCCTTCCCTCCAGGTTTTTGACCAACCGCTACATGATCACAGCACCCCCTAGAGGGCAGGATGTTGAGTGGGGCTATGCGTTTGATGTCCACCTCAACGCTTTCTTCCCTCTACTTCTCATCCTGCATTTCTTCCAGCTGCCACTGCTGCATCGTGAGTAACTTCTGTATCAATGTGTAATTGTTTATTCAATCAAGCTTGCGGCCATCATATCGACTTTCTCCATCAGAATTACCAATATCTGTCGGTGGCGGAAAAAAACAATGGTATCTGAAAGCTTATTTTATTCAGTCCGCTTTAAAAATGTAGGGTCGGCACCAGAATTCAAGGGTTGGTTGGGTAATCGGAACCACAACATTTTTTTATTTTGCCATATCACTGTTGCCTCAGAATGTTATGAAATCAAGATTTCCCCTTGTGAACGAGACTGATAGTATGAGCATATACCCACACAATAGAGTCCTGTGACCTATGGTAAAATAGAATTGTGAAAAAATATTGTGACGGACAACCTGGGGTTTCTTCACGATGTGTACAGTACCTGGTGCTGTATTGAGACTTCTCCTGTGAGCAGGCTGATTGCTGGACATAATTGATTTTTCAATCAAAAGACATAAAACAAGAAATATATTATTGTGTGATTATCATTGATTTAAAGGTCACATGCAACGCAAAACACAACTTTGCAAAATTCTGATACCTTTCGGTATGGACTTACAGTAACAAATCATCAAAAATGTTAAAGTTGAAAAATGACGCGATTACACACACGCACGCACGCACGCACGCACGCACGCACTCACGCACGCACGCACGCACGATTCTGTTAAGCTGCTGCTGCTGTCTTCAGATAGTCCATATGTTTGCGCTGTTCCTGCACTTGAATGTGTTATGTTATATTCTCATTATTTAACTTTCATTTCAGATTTCATCAACCAAGAATATTTCATATCCTGTTTCTTCGGCAACACGTTGTGGCTTATAGCTATTGGCTACTACATCTACATAACATTTCTTGGATACAGTGGTAAGTCGACGCTTTTCAACCATCTATGGGCATGACAGCCAATTTGTTGTGTGATAGAGTGCAATTTCGTGGAGACACTTGGTGTAGAGGCAGAACCACCACCAGTTCTAGATTAGAACTCAGCCTGGTTTAATTTATTGGAACCAAACAGTACAGTTGGTAGAGAAGGCTGTGGTTTGTGTTAAGTTGAAACTGATTGATGCATCCTTATAATCCTGTCAGGAGAAATTCAAAGAGTGCTCTCTGATTTCCGCCACACATTTAGAGCCTCAGCTTGTAATATCAGTAGGCCACTTAGATTTGCTGAAAATGATCCTGAGAAATATGTTCAGGCAAGTTATCAGATACAGACTAAGTTTGTAGTGCTTTGTGGTATCAAATAGCTGCATAACTGCTGTGGTGATACAGTCTTATTAAACATGTTTAGAGAGAAGGGCAGGGAATGGATGGAAACGTTTGTATTTTCAGCTTCAGTGTTATGGGAGTATGCTGGGAAGGGGGTGTTCAACATTTCAATTCCTAACTTTGATGTGCTGTTGATCATTGGATTGTCTGGTCCAGACTTGATTACAGACCGTCGACATAGTGGAAGGTTGCCGAGTACTGCGTTAAACAACAAACAAACCCTAAAATTGATGATGTGTCAGACAACAAATCTTCTTAATCATATTGTTTTTGTCTTTGTCTTAATGAAATAGGGGATTTTGTATTTTGGTTCATGTCATGTGCTTTTGATGCCATATTTAGGTGAAGACTATAGCAAAGATTTTGGCTGTTTGTTAATTGTGTGAAGAATCACAACTGGAACAAATATTTAAAAGCCAATACCATTCCTCCAGTTTCATGTAAGATGTTTTCCTACCAAAAATATGTAATATGTCCGCATGGAAAAACAACATATTGTACAAGAATGTTTCAACTTTCATCTTGAATTGTATTTATTGTTAGAAAGTTGGATTTCTCTATCTGTGGACAAAGTGGGCATCCTTGAGATGTTCTACATTAGTATCTTAATCTAGTCCCTGAACCGCCTAAATCTCTAAGTATTAAAATTAGGGTTACAACAAGAATATGCTACTTACTGAAAGACAGGAATATCTAAATTGGAATGTGTTATTGATGAAGATTATGATCCCTTTTCAGCATTGCCTTTCTTGAAGAACACTCGGACGTTACTATATCCCATCACAGGCATGGTGGTCGTGTACATCCTGTCCCTCATCTTTCAGTGGAACTTCAGCTGGGGGTTGTGTAGCTTCTATCGCAATCGGGTAATGTAGGCTCACCCTCAACCGTGACCATTGGAAACTGCTTTATGCAAACTCTACAGACTTGTGGGATACTCCATTGACCCTGATATCAATATCATGAAAAACTGTAACCATGACTCCCAGGAGCTGGTCACTGGTGGAATTGTCAATATCACAGATGTTTCCTCAGAGGATGTTGATTTCAAGAATGGAGGCATCACCTGTTGCCCTGTGATTGATATGGTCTCACAGGTCGACGGAGAGACCAGGGTGTTCTTGATCATGTTGATGAACATTTCGCTGTTGAAATGTGTCAAAGGAATAAAGCAGAGCTGTTTCTGCTGGGGATATGTCATTACAGTGTGGTTCACACCATCATCATGTTGAGAAGACACTATCTATTTATCTGTTTATGCTTGAATGTGGGATAAAGAAATACAATATATAATCCCACACTGACTGCTTCAGGGGACTGTATTATAGCCAGTTCTGCTGAACATGACCCCTGTCCCCAACTACGACAGTGTGAGACAATATACCCTGGAGGAAGTGTCTACTGTGTCTAACTGGGTGTTTACTTGGTTACCACTAAGTGTTATGAGGGTTGCACTATAATGAGGGAATTTCCATATACTGTGTTACATGGTAGCAGATTGCCAACATCTGGTGAGTTATGACTTATATCTATTGAGTGTTATGTAAAAATGTCTATGGTACTCTGAGTAGAGTTGGCAATATATCATGTATCAACTATTGATCTTTACCCATCAGACTTCTGGATTCCAGACAGCAGCTTTTCATCCATGTGATAATATAAGATTATTTAACGTTCTCCGTGTCAGGCTGTTCTTGCTGTAGCTTAGAGTGTGCTGCAACATTGATTTGTATGAGTGGAGAAACACTTGAGTACATTCTGTCTTATCAGGGGCTGAAAAATGGAAATCTATTGACTTTCAGACCACAGCTTTTTTTCATAAGGTTTGCAGGCAAGCTGTCTCTGTTTGATGGAGGAAGGAAATTGATACCTTATGTTGGAAGTTTTTGTAATAAAAGTAGCATGGGATATTTTTGAAGGGATTAGCTTAACTGATTCAGTTAAAATATATCATGCCCTATCAGCATTTGCTCAGCCAGTTAGAAATGATTGAAGAAATTAGGTTTTGACAAGTGTTTTTGAAAACATTTACCATGCCACAGACCAGGTGTGTTTTGTCTTTTTTGTTTAATTTTGTATTTTGAAACAAATCCTGAATCTTTGCATTCATAAATCAGACCATGTCAATAGATTTTTTACCTGCATGTTTATAAAAATAACCACAGGTATTTCAGCTCTTCGTTTCTAATGTAATATATGCTTGGACTTGTGAATCTGGTATGTACAGTGATCGCAATGTTTAATTTAGAAATTATTACAGAAATACTATTTACCTGACATATGACATAGTTACTGCTATCATTAAGCACTATCTGTGCCTGTTCTGTTATTTGTGTGTGTCTGTTTTTTTAATTATTCAGAGTATTTAACTGTAGGATCTTGGGAGGAGAACCTCTGGTTTGTTGGGCACCTGTGTACATTGTACATGTACAAATACTTCTTTGTATATTTCTATTTCACCATCTGTGTATGTATGTACATACTGATATGTATGAATTATGTAATTATGTGTATATATTTGTAAATAAAAGTGGGAAACATTGCTTACATTTGGTTATGGAATAAGAGTAGTGTATTAGATGGAGAATTGTAATGCAAATAGTAATAACAATCAATTTGAATTGCAGGGGTGGATTTAAGGAATTGAAACCTACTTGCACTCAGTGCAACCTAAGGCAATCACCAAACACAAAAAAAACCAGGTTGCACCTGCTGCTTACTATAAAATCTTGTATAATGCTTGAATTTTGGTAAAGACGGTTTAGAACAGTATTATAACAAAAGAAATCTTTAGTTTCTTACTTCCTGAACTTTCATGAACAGCAACTCCTTCAGTCACTGTTCCTACAACAATCAGTCACTGTTCCTACAACAATCAGTCACTGTTCCTACAACAATCAGTCACTGTTCCTACAACAATCAGTCACTGTTCCTACAACAATCAGTCACTGTTCCAAGTCAGTTTGTCATCATTCTGTTTTCCAGCATTCTCTTCCCACAGAGGTTACTTGTCATATCTTCCTACGAACCTCTGTTCTAATACGACCATATTTCCGGGTTCTAAATGCAAAATCCCCTAGCGGCAAAAAGATCGCATAACCACAATTATAGCGCTTCTTTCTATCCAATCAGAACACATGTTACATCGACTTCAACTTGACTAACACAAGCAAATGTGGGGCCTGAAATATCCCCATCTGCGGGGGACTTGTGTTGGATGTTTTACACAAGAGCGCTTAATAGCTAGCTTGTCCGTTGTTCACGATGGCTTATGGAGACGCCTCGATCCGCCTTCATAACATGACTGAGTTCTGGCTAGAAGAAAGCAGCTATGACGGCGCGGGGAAAGAAAGTTATTTTTTCGAAGCGTACAGAAATTACCGAGGCCTCTATGAATGATCACTTTTGGAAAACAAACGCCGCTGATTGCACAACCAAATCTGATTGCCTCCAAACCACTCACACCATACGAAGGGCTGTGATAGAACAGAGGTTCAGTACGGAAGATATGACAGGAGTAACCTCTGTGGAAGAGAATAGTTTTCCAACTGAAGTCTGTCTTCTTTGAACAGCAAAATATTAACAAGTACTGGGTTCAACTGATGTACATAAGAGTTTGCAATTAGCAGTTTCAGGTTGCACCAGTGCAAGTTCTAAATGCTTAAATCGAGCCATGTATTGCCCTTTCCAATGCTCAGTATCATGCTCAAAGTGGAGAGAGGGAAGAAAAGTAGACTGAAACCTGTTTGAAGAGATAGTCTTGAGGGCAGTTTTGAACATGGAAAATGCTGTCAAGGAGAAGCATTTATGTTTCACACTGGTACGAGAAATAGATGCTAGGACTCTGAACAAAAAGATCTGTTACAAATAGGGGTGTCGCGATACGCAAATGTATCGATACATCGATACATTTTACTGATTGACACGATCTGCCGATACATACTTGCTGATGCGTGTATCGATTCCTATTTTAAAACTTTATCGATTCAAATTTTTATGCTATATCCATCTCCTTCTAAGTCTTGATAGTAAAATTATACGAGACCTCTCAGATAAATAGATGTAGCTAGCTTTACTTAAAAAATAGGTTTGAAACTAACAGCTTTTGAGATTGGCTTGACTATTTTGATGGACCAATCAGCGAGCGCGTACGTTGCGTCGGGTAAGGTAATGCTATGAAAAGGCTCGAAAATTATGTATCGCGATACGTATCGTATCGTGACCTTAAAATCGTGATACGTATCGTATCGTGAGATTGGTGTATCGTGACACCCCTAGTTACAAAGCAATGTTAGTGCTAAGGTGAGCACAACACCCATGCCTTAACATAGACTTAATGTGGTCGTGTTCTGTTTTGTACAACAACACCTAGGATGGAAGGTAAAGCTGCAGGTCTGACAAATGTGGTAGATCCGTTTGTGCATGTCAGTTATCAGTAGAGGAGGTCATCATAGTTCACAAAATTGTAACATTTGTTATTGACTCACCAACTTCAGAACTATGAAAGAAGTCAACCTTTAGTACTATGAAAGTAGTCAATCTTTAGTACTATGAAAGTAGTCAACCTTTAGTACTATGAAAGTAGTCAACCTTTAGTACAATGAAGTAGTCAACCTAGTAGTCAACCTTTAGTACTATGAAAGTAGTCAACCTAGTAGTCAACCTTTAGTACTATGAACGTAATCAACCTTTAGTTCTATGAAAGTCAACCTTTAGTACTATGAAAGCAGTCAACCTTTAGTACTATGAGAGTAGTCAACCTTTAGTACTATGAAAGTAGTCAACCTTTAGTACTATGAAAGTCAACCTTTAGTACTATGAAAGTAGTCAACCTTTAGTACTAGGAAAGTAGTCAACCTTTAGTTCTATGAAAGTCAACCTTTAGTACTATGAAAGTAGTCAACCTTTATTAGTCAACCTTTAGTACTAATAGGAAAGTAGTCAACCTTTAGTACTATGAAAGTCAACCTTTAGAACTATGAAAGTAGTCAACCTTTAGTACTATGAAAATAGTGAACTTTTAGAGCTATGAAAGTAGTCAACCTTTAGTTCTATGAAAGTAGTTAACCTTTAGTACTATGAAAGTCAACCTTTAGTACTATGAAAGTAGTCAACCTTTAGTACTATGAAAGTAGTCAACCTTTAGTACTAGGAAAGTAGTCAATCTTTAGAACTATGAAAGTAGTCAACCTTTAGTACTATGAAAGTAGTCAACCTTTAGTACTATGAAAGTAGTCAACCTTTAGTACTATGAAAATAGTCAACTTTTAGAGCTATGAAAGTTGTCAACCTTTAGTACTATGGAAGTAGTCAACCTTTAGTACTATGAAAGTCAACCTTTAGTACTATGAAAGTAATCAACCTTTAGAACTATGAAAGTAGTCAACCTTTAGTACTATGAGAGTAGTCAACCTTTAGAACTATGAAAGTAGACAACCTTCAGCACTAAAAATAGTCAATCTCTAGTATTATGAAACAGTAATAAACTTTTATTTTCATGAAACTTGTCATCCTGTAGCTCTGAAAGTAGCCAACTTTATTACTATAAGAGTAGACAAGTTTTAGCACTATGAATTGAATCAACCATAAGATCCGGGCTTCAGCAACCCATACATGTGGTAAGAGGCGACTAAGGGGAAGGCTGGTCAGGCTCTTGACTTGGTTGAACATTTCAGTTCTCAGAGACCCGACCTATGAATTGGTCTTCAGCATCCCATGCTTGTCATAAAATGCGACAGGCTCGCTGACATGGTTGACACATGTCATCGTATCCCAATTGCGTAGATTGATGCTCATGATGTTGATCACTGGATTGTCTGGTCCAGACTCGATTGTTTACAGACCGCCGCCATATAGCTTGGATATTGCTGAGTGCGGCGTTAAACAAAAAACAAACAGAATGTTACGGAAGTAGCCTAGTTATAACTTTGGAATAGCCAACTTTTAGCACTGCACTGCAGTGAAATCTTAGCAATCTTGTTTTTCTATCTGTTCTCAGATGACGGACGCTTTTCCTACACGGCTGCAAGTACAGCACTGAGGTGGCTTGACACGTTCATGCAATATTATATGGGTTCTTAATAATCCAACGTCTGTCGGTAGATTATAGTTTAAAGGTACACAGCCTGAGAATTGAAATGTTTCCACCCTGATGCTCTATACTGAGCCTCCTTGACTGGGGAAGTTGGAGCCGTGATGGACTAGAGATGCTGTGGGAGAACATTCACAGCATCACATGGAATATGATCCGTACACCCAATCAACTCACCACACCACACTCGTTACTATTCAGGATTTTATTCCCATGCATGTCAACCAGCATCCCGGAATATGAGAGACCTTATCATAGAACGTTGAGCTATGGCGTTCACGCGCAGTATGTCTAAATACCGATGTACCACTTTCAGATGGTTGCCCAGCTCATGGTAGTCGGCAATACATTCATTCTAAATGCCGAGAATGTTACATTCACACCAACACATGTCGTACAGCTCCATGCGTGAGAGGGTTGCTGTTTTTTCTTGATCATTATGAATTATGATTGGTTTTTACGTTCATACAAATCCCAGAACGTGCACTAGTTCATGTCACACAAGATAGAATTGCATGGTAATATCTCTTCCCCAACGTTCTCCAGTGCATTTACTCCTAAGTTGCGACCGACCTGGACAGCTATAGATTGTTCAAGATCGGGGACTTAGACGTAAGCATGCCTGACGGCGTGGAACTTCGCCAATAATATCAGATTTTGTTTCAGTCCAAGTAAACTTAGGCACAGTGTTACTCGTTTCAGCTTTTGTAACAGTGTAAGGAATAATGCTGAACCTAAGTTAACTTAGACTGCTTTTGTTTCGTCAGGTTCAAGCCCGATTAGATCCGTAAAGATACGGGTTTGTCTTCAGCAAGAGGCGGCTAACTGGATCCGGCTCACCCTCTTGGTTGACACATGTCATTGTATCATAACTTCGTAGATCGATACTCATGATGTCAATCACTGGAAGGTTTGGTTCAGGTTAGACAACAAACCAAAACAAAAAAAATCAAACTCGATTATTTAAGACAGTCACCATATAGCAGCAGTGTTGCTGACGAAGGCATAAACTAACAATAACTATGCTCTTGCTGCATCTTGATGTTGATCACTGAATTGTCTGGTCCAGACTCGATTATTTACAGATTGCCGCCATATAGCTGGAATATTGGTGAGTGCGGCTTTAAACAACAAACAAACATACCAACCAATCCTTCGGCAAGTGACTCTGTCCCTTTTTCCAGGAAAATGTTACCCGTTAGGATGTCTGATAACCTTCTATATCGCCTCATAGATAGCTGGGGCAGTATACTCCTCAGGCAGATTTGAATGAATATTGAGTGCACAGTGATTCAGCTGGAACTCGGAGCACATCTGCTCTTGCACCATGAATGTGTAAGAGAAGCCAAATAAGAGTATTTATATGGGGTTACCGCATTGGCGACATTGTTGGTTGTTCAAATCCATCCCCAACATTATTCCAGCTGCATGGCCCAGATTTGTAAATACCCTTGGATCAGACAATCTTGTGACGGACACCTCGAGGACACATCTACACAATTAGGATGCGATGACGTGCTTCAACCGAGTCACCGAGCTTGACCAATGACCACCCGATCCCGTTAGTCAAGCTTTGGTTGCTGAAGATCAATTATACCCGGATCTGTACGGTCTTGTTTGTAGTTTGTAATGGATGAGGTTATGGCCTGAAGATATTTTTCAGTCAAAACTGTGTCAGTTACCCTGAACACCCATCAGTCACTTCTAAAGCGTGTATTGCTGAAGGCCAATTCTGTCTCGTGTTTCATCGTTGAGCATCCCAATGAGCTGTTCACAATATCGGGTACTAACTGTTGATGTCAAGAACATTCAGTGTACTCCATTTTACAGAAACCGGCATGCCTCGAGTGGATTAATTCCGGGACAGGATAGGTCCTCGGCGCCTCATGCTTGTACAAAAAACCTTCACGTTTGTTACAAAAAGCCCCAAGAAACCGAGCAAAATGGAGATCGGTTGTGTCGCCCCATGTTTCGGCACAGCTGGAACTGTCTGCTATCAGACTCTAAGATAGAGTTACAGGAGGACGTCACATTAAAACAACAATGCTGAGAGCGGCGTTACATAACAAACTGTCTGCTATCAGACTCTAGGATAGAATTACAAGGGGGACGTCACAATAAAACAACAATGCTGAGAGCGGCGTTACATATCAAACTGACCAAGGGCCACAAAACATGATTATGTTATGTCGTCAAAAAAGGGAAAGATAATATAATACCCTCAACAAAATCATTGAAATCCGAAACAAAACAATAAAAACAAAAGTATGAGCACCCCCCCCCCACCTTCAATAACAACGACAACAAACAATATTAGAAAGCATACGAAGAAAAAGAATGCAGAGAAAATACAAACAAGAGTCAAATTAGACCTGACATACGCTTTTATAATAATTCTATAAGGTTTTGAAATCTCCATGTCCATCCTAGTGTAAATATGTACGTTGTTTGTGAATGATGTTTAACGCTGCTCGCTAGTAATGTCCCAGTTGTGCCACCACGTCCCGTCTAAATAATAATAATAGCATATTTGTTACGCGCATATATCCATGCTAAAGCATGCTCAAAGCGCACAGGATAAAGATGAGATTAATGGTAAAGAGCTACAGGTCAAAGGCTATCTCGAACATGTGTGTTTTTAGACTGGATCTAAAAGAATTAAAGTCACAACAGTCTCTGAGGCTCTGCGGGAGACTGTTCCAGGCTATAGATCCTGCATGGACAAAGGACCTCTTCCCATACATCACTGTCTTTACTTTGGGAACAACAAGCAAGTTCTTTTCCTGTGAACGGAGAGATCGGGAAGGCGTGTACACACGGTTAGAAGATTGGATAGATATGAAGGTGCAGTTCCAGTGAGACAGCGGAAAACAAGGCATAAGAATTTAAACTGGATGATCGAGCCTGGACCAGGCAAACAATTGCGTAAAATCGTAGGGTCCGACAACCGTCGGGGCACACTGACACAGACAGACAAGTCACACAACCTGGCTAGACGATTCAAATCAGCCTCTCCTGCGACCAGCAACAGGGGACTGGTATCTCGCCTACCTCTCCCCCCACACTCCACCCCTCCCCATCACCCACACAAACACACATCACCCCATCGTCTCATATTCAGAGCTATCGGTTGTAATGTTACAACCGGTGACGGAATCAAGACACGTATTCACAGTGTAATACGCAATCAGTATTTTGTTCGGTTAGGTCACATTCGGCTCGAATCGATAATTTCCGTCTTAAGTCGGCAGGGGGAATGACAGAAGCGCCTGAAAATGCCCCGGAGATGATGCTCGTGTCTAAATATAGCAACCGGCTTCCACTTGTTGACTCATAATACAACGATGCGAATCCATACAGACACGTCTGTGCAGAATACCACACCGGCTCCCTCACATCATGCAGGACGACGGTAAATACGACACTCGTTTTATTTCTCTAATCACGTTGTAGGTACCCGAACACCTAGCTGTATTTTGTCTCAGTTCATGTATTGACGGGTCTAGCCTCGACCCCCAGCAGAGCGGCAGATGGCTTTCTCGCGAAGAGGAATGCATAAGACCGTCGTGACATTGGGTTGTTTACACGAACCATTCCCAACCTGCCATGTAAACAACCCAGCTTTGTTGCAGTGATTTTGGGATCTGAATTTTCACACCGTTTTATCCTGTGGTCAATGTTTTTTTTAATTTATCAGCTGATGCTGTTCAGCCATTTAAAATGCTGCATGATGATATTCGTGTTTTCTTCTGAAGTGCCATTTATCAAGATGGGTGTTATTATCTATCGATGTCTACTGTATATGATATCAGTATTTCTGAACGACTACAATCAGTAATAAGATTTTAAGCTATTTATTAAAAACGTTCCCAAAATGTTATTCGCGAACATTTTGCCACAAGCTGAAGCATGAGTCATTAGAGGGCCGCTGTCAAGCATCTTTAATTACGTACTTGTAGTCACTACTTTTTAAAGATGCATTTATCATGTTTTATTTAGAATCAAACCCATAGGCATATTTAGGCCTAACTCACATAATTCTTTATCAATATATTATTGAAAAACATTAGACAAGTTTGCGATAAACATGTATCGCAAGAAACACCTGTTTGATCAGGCATAACTGACGTTGAATTAACGCTTGAAATGTAATATATAGTTGAAGACTCGGGTTGCTCAATATGAATGGTATTTTGGCTAGAAATATTTCTGATTTAATTAAATTATGCATTATCAGTCCCATATTCAATTCATATTGAATTAAATCATTTTAAAGATAACACAATCACGGTTGGCTTTTGAATCGGGTATTGATCGTTCGTCAACATATATTCTGTTAACTTGAGAAATATCGATTTCGGAGTGTTAATGTAGTTATGATCTCCGACTATGGATGTTTGTATTAGAAAATTTGAAACTTATTGCTATATGTGCACGGTTCATTTGAAAGCTGATAAATTAGAACAAAACTTCCTGCTCAGATAAAGTGTATTTTTACACAGGCCTGGAGTGATTACTGTTGTGGTATGAATCACACCAATGTGTCATGCGAGCATATTAGAAAAGGGAAGTATTGTATATACACCGTGGAATGAGTGTTTATAAAGGGAGAAAGGTCACGCTATAATTGAGCCATTATATCGCCCGAGTTCTGACTGAGAGCAAATAGCCAGCCCTAGTCAACAGACATAGCAACTCTGCTTTGTTGTGTCCCGAGCGTGTCAGCGAGGTGTTGATATGATCTTGGTGTACCATTTACTTGTACTGAGCTTGCTTATCATACGATGTAAAGCCGCAATAGGCATAACTTGTGTTAGTGCGTACATATATCCCGTGGTGTGTAGCGTGTGACCTGACATGAATGAATGATGGGGGAAGTTTTGCCCCTAAGACAAAGACACACACACACGTTCTTCTGATGGCCGATTTGACCATACTCCTAGATTTTCCTGTACATAGATTACAAAACCTTTTAAACACAGCTGCTTTGTTTTTTTCATTGTGTCTACAGTAACTTGAACCTTTATTCATTAGGGTTAGCACGAAATGTCCACTCTCGGGGCTTTGATGTGATAGTGCATGTTTAATCCTTTCTTTTTAAGGCACATACCAAGTAACATAATCATTTACTGACTCGTTTCCACTAATGTTTTGACGTTATTTGTAATCTTTGTTGCTTGCTTGTCGTAAGAGGCGACTAACGGGATCGGGTGGTCAGGCTCGCTGACTTGGTTGACATATGTCATCGGTTCCCAATTGCGCAGATCGATGCTCATGCTGTTGATCAGAGGATTGTCTGGTCCAGACTCGATTATTTACAGACCGCCGCCATATAGCTGGAATATTGCTGAGTGTTGCGTAAAACTAAAGTCACTCACTCACTCACTTTGTATCATATGATTGGTATCAGCAGAAGTTAGCCATTAGACTGCAGCGTCCATGTGTGTGGAAGACGTACAGCTTTGTTGTTTTCCATGTGTAACATAATCAGGTACGAACATCCTACTGGTTGTGTTTCACCTCTCAGACTGACTGACTGAGTTTGGTTTTACGCCGCCTTTAGCAATATTTCAGCAACATCACGGCGGGGGACAACACATTGTACCCATGTGGGGATTCGAACCCGGGTTTTCGGCGTGACGAGCCAACGCTTTATCATGACATATCAACAACTAGGCTACCCCACCTCCCCTTTACCCTTAGCCTAGTGGTTAAAGCGTTCGCTCGTCACGCCGAAGATCCGGGTTCGATTCCCCACATGGGTACAATATGTGAAGCCCATGTCTGGTGTCTCCCGCCGTGATATTGCTGGAATATTGCTAAAAGCGGCGTTAAACCATACTTACTCACCCCTTAAATGCGGAATTCATGCTTATAGATTGGTTGTGTCTCATAATCAAGCATAAACACCAGGAAGAAGGTTTTATATTCATCCCAAGTAATATCATCAAGCGTTAACAGCATGTTCAATAATTTTGGAACATTATCCTGTATTATATGCATCTTAAGACAGAATAAGTAGAACCTCGCCAGCAGCGTGCACCCATACAGTGTGAAGGATGTACAGCTCGATTGTTTCGGCATGTTTTCCTAAGACAGGCTTGGTGTTGTAGAATATCTTCCCATGGGGTAGGATTACAACAAAGTAATCTTGTGGTAGGAATGTCAGAGGTTTATTTGTTCTCAAGTGCTGTTATCATTTCGTATAGTCGTGGCAGCGATAATGCTATTTCCGAAGCGATTTTACAGCGGAATGAACAGGGTGGTTTGAGGTGCCTTGAACTACGTCATTTGGATGCATGTATTTTGTATTTTTTTCAGGTCAGAGTACACAAAAGGTGAAAATACGCCGGTGTCTAAGATTACCTATACAGTGAGTATCTTTTTGTTCAATTCAGTAGGTGGTGTTTAAAATAGTATATGAACACGTGTAGATCAAATACCCGTAGAACAGATTCCAAATGGTAGTTGACAGTAGACGTTTAAATTTGTTTGTTTGTTACACGGCGGCGGTCTGTGAATATTCGAGTCTTGACCAGACAAGCCGGTGTCTACGTCATGAGCATCGATCTTGGCAGTTGGGATACGATGACATGTGTCAACCAGGTCAGCGAGCCTGACCTCCCCATCCTGTTAGTCGCCTATTAGGACAAGCATGGGTTGCTATTAAAAGACCAATTCTAACCCGGATCTTCACGGGTGTAGACGTTATCTGTTATGAACCCCTACAGTAGAGTCGGTTTTCATCCAAACTCAAGCACTCACACAATGGTTATTCATTATGTGAGGGGGATGTGATTAACTCATCCGCCGACTGTCATTGTTATATCAGTGTGCTTCCGTAACATGCTCCGAAGTATTCTGAACGGCTTTCGTGATGCTGTGTCACATTTTCGTCAGTTCAGTTTTATGAGTTTAGTGTTGTCGAACAGTAATTTGAAAAGTATGTTGTTGTGGTCAATCCAAAGAGGTGTGGTCGGTTATCGTTTTGACCAGTTACACCGGACACAGCAATAAGACGACAACGTCACTGCTATCAGTTACCATAACGCAAACTAGCAGAAGGCAACGCCAAAGAATCCATTACGGATATCGGAACCAACGATAGCCCATGAACTTTAATATACTGTATATAATGTCGACGGGGGTTCATCGTTGAATTCCCCAGGCATGATTTCTTTATTTCACTATGATAAATGCTTTGGGTCCATTTGCTTCCGTTCGAATGACAACGCTAAAATTCCCATCCAATCAAATAACTCTAATGAGCGAGAGAAATCTATTGGAAGTGATGCGAGGCGGGAATAAATCAAAGTGTCTCTCCAATAGTGCTTTTATTTGTTTCCCTAATATATATTACGCATACTCCTGGTCTATTTATAGACGACTACATCAGGTTCGACATCTGGCGCTCGGATCAAATGCAGCCTACTTTGTATCGATCTCTGAATGTAAATGACTACCTGGCATGCTACATCACCTCGATATAAGGCTATAAAGAACTGTTATATACATGATTCTACCTTTCAGACCACCTCAAGAAGTTATCCCTGTTGATCTAGAGACAGAAGGCACGTTGACCCTGGGAGGGAAGCGCGTGCCATGTGATGCTGGGGACCTAGAGCACCTGAGCTCCCTTGGGCAGGGAGACTCGGGGGATGTGGATTATATGCTGCACAGACCGTCGGGGATACCGGTGGTGGTTAAGGTACGGTATATCGATATACTACACACAGGTATTAGGCGATATCTATGGTGGTTAAGTTACGATATATCGATACACCGCATACGGGTGTTAGGTGATATCTATGGTGGTGAAAGTACGATATATCGATACACCACACACGGGTTTTAGACGATACCGGTGGTGGTTAAGGTACGATATATCGATACATCGCACACAGGTTTTAGGCGATGCCTATGGTGGTTAAGGTACGATACATCGATACATCGCACACGGGTTTTAGGTGATGTCTATGGTGGTGAAAGTACGATATATCGATACACCACACACGGGTTTTAGACGATACCGGTGGTGGTTAAGGTACGATATATCGATACACCGCACACGGGTGTTAGGTGATATCTATGGTGGTGAAAGTACGATATATCGATACACCACACACGGGTTTTAGACGATACCGGTGGTGGTTAAGGTACGATATATCGATACATCACACACAGGTTTTAGGCGATGCCTATGGTGGTTAAGGTACGATATATCGATACATCGCACACGGGTATTAGGCGATACCTATGGTAGCAAAGGTACGATATATCGTCACTGTGTTTCGATACACTATATACACATGCAGTGGAGGTAAACTGATCCTAGAATATATCGATGCTGTATATCGATAAACCATTCGACACTAGGTAATGCCCTAGGCAGTTAAGAGACGATATTTCGATGCACCTTACATACAGGTTTTCGACGATATTCATAATGATTGGGGTACTATATATCGAAGGGTTTTTTTAGATACAGGGCGATAGCCATGATTGTTAAGATTCGATATATCGATACTTTATTATCGGCTTACTTTACATAAACTGTCAGAGATACCCATGGATGTACAATATATCGATACACTATCCAAGCTCAAGGCGATAACCATTGTTGTTAAGCAAGGATATATCGATGCTCTATATCGATACACCTTATACACATAGACGTGAGTGTGATAAAGGGGTTATTCGAGAACAACCTACTCTAAACTCAAAGATTGATTTAGAATGACCAACTCAGTGTTGAGTTGAGTGTTTACGCCAATGGCATTCGGTATCCTAGGACACCATGTTTGTAAATCGCTAGTTATTTCCTTAATACTAAGGGGCAGTAAAAGACCCGTGTTCGATTCCCCACATGGGTACAATGTGTGAAGCCCATTTCTGGTGTCCCCCGCCGTGATATTGCTGGAATATTGCTAACAGCGGCGTGAATCTAAACCTACTCACTCACCCTGAACTGAAAGTCAGTAGTTGCGGCACAGGAATCGAATAAAAGTTTTCAGAGTTTGGTGATGCGTGCTTTGACTCACGTAGAGTCCATTAGAATATGCGGTTATGTGTCCGGAACAGAGATAATGTATCACAAATTTGGTCCTTGCAGCGATAGAAAGAATGACACTATCCTATTCATTCTAATAACATATGGTTTATGTACTTTATTTCGTTCACATTGACATACAATCAAACACCCTTGTGTCGAAGTTGAAGAGACCTACGTAAATACTTCGTGTTATCCGAGGTTCGACACAACCGATTGTAATCGAGACACCCGTACGTTCTGATTGACTGTCAGTCAGTATCATATGTGCATTTCTTTCTTTTGTAAGTATATAACCTATGTCAGTTCATCAGTTAATGAAGCTTGTGATTGTCGGATTCCGAGTCAGTTGATGTCTTGACCTCCTTGAGAACAGAGGAAGTTATGTAACGGTTGGAGTCAATAGCTGGAGGGGGCATTTGATATACGCCGGTTATAACTCAACACTATTATACAGCATAATGCAAGTGGGGCTTTCATCTCATTTCATTCATTGATCGGCAGTGCACAGACTCAGAGACTCTACATAAGACTGTATATTGACTCCCCAATGAGCTGTATCATTGGGTGAGATTCATGCGCTCCAGCGATGTCTGTCTGGCGGTAGATGTTACAGGAAAATATATAGGAAGTATAGAATACCATTCATGTGTTTGTTGTCTTTTTACAGAGAATCTTGGTAAGAATGGACCGAGATGAAATCAGCGATTTGCTGCAGGACATCGAGACTATACGGAGTTGCGGCCCCTGTCCAGACATCGTGTCCGTATATGGAGCGTTCTTCAGGGATGTACGTACTGGAAATACTTCTCTTTCACGTTTGGGTATGGGGTCTTTCGCTTGTTTGTTACGAAGATTTGAGAAGGTTCGCATAATCCCCGTTGTTCGCAAACCAGTATTCGGGTTTGACTTTCTACACGATGTCTTTGACGCAGAGAACCTTGCTCAGGAAGCAGTCGTCATGAGGACGTGCAGGAATCGATTCGACATGTCGATACAGTATATGGTTTGTTTGTCGTTTAATGATCGCTTTTAGCAAAATTCGATCCGTTACTTTTTGGTTTCTGGACCAGTCAAACCACTGATTGATATTAAGAACAATGTCCAACTCTTAAAACTTACAAGCCATCGCCATTTGCGACAAAGACGGGGGTATATCTTGAATCTCGAAGTCAAGACACAAAGTGATTGTTGAAGTCAAGACACAGATTGTAATATTAGTAAGACTGGATTAACCAATACTCACCCAGTGTAGTGGGCGGTGGGGTAGCCCAGTGGTTAAAGCCTTCGCTCCTAACGCCAATGGGTACAATGTGTGAAGCCCATTTCTGGTGTTCACCCGCCGTGATATTGCTGGAATATTGCTAAAAGCGCCGTTAAACCCAAACTCACTCACTCACCCAGTGTAATACAGGCTTACTCAGTCGCCTAAGGCACCAGAAACGTCCCTTTGGTACACCTATGATTCTGGGTTAGATGCTCAATCGATCCGACCCTACGTGTCAGACAAACATCAATTCAAGGTTTCTCGCCACATTAATTTGACTAGTCATTATTTAACTGGAATATTATCAAAGGCAGAGTTAAACCCAATTTCTATGTTTCACATAGAACTGATGGATTTCCTTCTTAAATGGTTCATTCGTCACAGAGATGTACTGGGTTATATTTCCTAAAAGTGAATAACCCGTGAAGATCCGTGTTAGAACTGATATTCAGTAACTTATGCTTGTCGTAAGAGGCGACTAACGAGATCGGGTGGTCAGGCTCGCTGACTTGGTGGACACATGTCATCTGTTTGCGTAGATTGATACTCATGCTATTGATCACTGGATTGTCTGGTCCAGACTCGATTATTCACAGACCGCCACCATCTATCTGGAATATTGCAGAGTGCGGCGTAAAACTAAATTCACTCATTCGCTAAATGTGAATAATGTGTGAAGCAAGTTTGATTGCTTGGCCGCAGCACTGTCTGTCTTACATGAACTCGTATCTCTCGCGTACTGTTCTATCCGAATGTCGTACCCCTACCTCAAGTGTGTGAACCAGTTATCTCCGAAACACTCCGGTATGACTAATATCCATTTGTGAACAACTTCTCCATACATTCCTTTGTTAGATGTTCGTTTGAGAATCAAATTACGTGTGACGCTGTCTTAAACCTACTCATGCGGCGCTTAAAAGATGACATTAAGGACTCTGTAGAACAGAGGAGCTTGTATAAATGAAGCTCATTATAGATGTAGAGGCAGAAGCACCCTACTATAACACGTACATCATAAGGTATCAGCGTATGTAATCTATCAGCGCGAAGTTGTGAGCGTTATATTTAGCCCTGCGGTGACTCACTTAAAGTGCGAGAAAAGTGTTTGTTTACATTTATGACACGGGGATATAAAGGTTTATGGAGCATTACATAAGCCAAACCAGATTGGGGCCGCACGGGTGCCCCCTTTTTAAACATACTATTTTACGCTGACGTGTGCAAATTCGCAAACACATAAATAGTAAATAATACATTTTCTAATATCTAGGCCTCGAGCAGTTTTTATTTTTGTAAAAAAGATTTATATTTCTTTACTTTTGTTTATTCATATGGACCTTGTCACTTCCTCCCAACCTGTTCTTCACCACGAAAAAAACTATCAGACCACATTTTCATTTGGACTGAAACCATTTTATTTAAATATATAGAATCACATATATATGATAACAAGGACATGTCCATATACGTAGATTAAATAGAATCATGTACATGACGCTAGCCCTTAGTCCATTAATTACTGGGAAACCAATGCGGAACCAAACATAGTTTAGAAAAAAGACATGTCAAACTGTACAACGCTTTCCTATTGGAAGCTTGCCCGTGGGAATGGCGAAATAGGACAGGTCCCAAGCGGCCTGTACTAGTGGACGGGGGTAATATGTTCGGATGGTCAGGTTCGGTGGCTTGTTTCATTATAGGTCACCATACCCCCACTGCTTGGGTTGTTTCCCATAATATACATTGTTTGGCTTATTTCGTCCAGACTCTATTATAACTGTCCCCCGGACATATGGTTGAAATACTGCTGACTAGGATAATTACAAACAAATATTCAACTAGTAGGAATTTTAGTTGGAATTTCTCGAGCAGAAAACTCAAATTGGAAGATCAGTTTTATGGAACATCACGAGGATCTGTTCACAGAAAAGATTTCCCCACTTTAACCAAGTAATTTATTTGTATTTCTGTATAATTAGGGAGACCGTTCGGTTTTAAATCAAATTTAGAGCTATTATAATTTCGTTATATGCCTCTGGTTTTCCCACACAGTATGTTTATCTCCGTTCTACCATGACAATTTTATGAACAATTTCAGTTGGAACTCTTTCTTTGGTTACGAGTAAATACGTGAAGCGGCCTTGCATTCCAATCTCAAGTGGTATCGCCCGAAACGGGGTGTTTGGTGGTAACCCGTCAATAACTAACAAACTCCAGATTCAGTAATAACAAATAACGTTATGTTTTTTCAATGCATTAATCACCAATCATTAACTGATAAATTGGAAAACATATATCAAATAAGTTTAAAAGCTTGGTTCACTTTTAAATTCCACCGTAGACCCTTTCCCTACCCGAATAATGGCAACAACCTCATGGCCTTGACCTTTTCTCGGAAGTCATTTTTTACCTTTACGTTGCATATTGGAAATTTTGAAAGATGCGACAGGAGAGCAGTTTGCGCCAGGTCAACATGATTGTATGACTGAGATAGAGTCTTTGATATCTAATTATTGGTACTTTGCAAAAAGTAAGAGTAGAGTAGGGAAGTCCATGCATGTTGTACCGAATTTAGATACTGTTGAATTTTGCGCCCTGTCAACTTGACGATTTCCCGCACCTCTACTGTGACAGAAGAGTCACTGTGGTGGCTCTTACAAACTCATATGTGTACTTTGTGCTGTATAACGTGATTATATACCTCTAAATGACTTTAATTAGCCAACCACAATCCAGTATTTACTTAAGTCATGGTAGAATGACGGATAGGTGCATCCGTTCAACCTGTTTAAATTTTGTTCACAGTTGCCAGTTATTTCCTGTGTGTGTGTCAGATTCAACTTCGAGAACAATAGCGTGACGCCCATAGAATGGGTTTATATCCCTGAAGTACTGAAGTACTGAACTATATATGTACTGAAACTCCTAACATGTAAGCTGTCAATTCGCTCACCCCTGTTGTCAGGTCCAGCCATGCTTGTCATGACTGGCGACTAATGGGACCGGGTGGTAAAGCTCGCTTACTTTTTGTCCCATGTCATCGTAGATCGATGCTCATGATGTTGATCCTGGATTGTCTGGTCCCGATTATGTACGGACCGCTGCCATATAGCTGGAGTGAGTGAGTGAGTTTGGTTTTTACGCCGCTTTTAGCAATATTTTAGCAATATCACGGCGGGGGACACCTGAAATGGGCTTCACACATTGTACCCATGTGGGGATCGAACCCGTGTCTTTGGCGTGACGAGCGAACGTTTAACCACTAGGCTACCCCACCGCCCCCCTATTTAGCTTGAATATTGCTGAGTGCGACGTTTAACCGCCACCAACAACAGTCAATCAATGTTGTGAGTTCAAACTACATTCTCTAGTATAGTTTTACCACTATCCTTGCCAAACACCCCGCCTCATATCATGTGCCATTACCTATACACACAAACAAAATCTCTACGTGCATTGCCTGGCTTATGTATTTGAAGGCAAACAGTTTAGGTAGCTCTAAAACTGAAACCCTACGAACTCAATCGTATCCGTCCACTGTAAATGGGCACATACACCTTGAACAGTTTTAAAATAGAGTTTTAAAATGTCATCAGCCTCACGTTTTATTGAATTGATGAATATCTAACGATTACTTTATTGTTGCCATGGTAAGAAAGTCATTAAATATCATCTTACGTCAATGTACTTTATTGTTCGTTGGATTAAAAATGAAATATTTTGATACCTTGTGCATATAAATTCAGAATAATTGTTAGTATCAGATTACCCTGTTAGTTGGTTTCTGTGTGGTAAATGTGGAACAAGAGCAGGGTGACCTGTTGTGATGTACTGCAACGCTGTATAAATAGCACTGAATCGAAACCACTTTAATCAGTTAGTGAGTTTAGTTCAGTTTTACGTCTCACTCAGCAATATTCCAGCTATATGGCGGCGGTCTGTAAATAATCGAGTCTGGACCAGACAATCCTCTGAACAACAGCACGAACATCGATCTACGCATTTGGGGTACGATGACATGTGTCAACTTGGTCAGCGAGCCTGACCACCCGATCCCGTTAGTCGCCTCTTACGACAAGCATTGGTTACTGAAGATCAGTTCTAACCCGGATCTTCACAGATACTTTAATTAGAACTACCTCCTTCCCGTGAAGATCCGGGTTAGAATCGGGGACATATAATGCCTGACGGCGTGGATCGTCGGCCATAGTATCACCTGTTGGTTCGTCTGGTTCAAGCCCGATAGATCCGTGAAGGTACGGCTTAGAACTCGTCTTCAGTAACCCATGCTTGTCGTAAGAGGCGACTAACGGGATCGGGTGGCCAGGGTTGATGCAGCTCATAATTGGTCGATGCCCACTGGATTGTCTGCCCGAGACTCGAATATTTTCAGACTTCCGTCATATAGCTGGAATATTGTTGAGTGTCGCGTAAAACAATAAACAAGTCAACAGAGTTATCTCCCGTAACTACGTAACATCTTCATCGTTAATCTACCGATATCTACCTGAAAAGGGTTCATAGTTTTAATGTGAATGACCCATGCGTTTTGGGCAACTTCATGCGATAGTATTGCAAATTTCTAATGCGTTCCAATAATTCAGATGCCCCCCTAAAGCCACCCCTGTTTCCTATGCTGTCAGCCCTAACCCCACCTTCGATTGTCCAGGATATTTTATCATTATTCCATTGAGATAAACACCAAGGGCCCATTACGATTACAATAATTTTGTTTTATCTAAAATTACCCGTCTGCTTCTTTACACTAATGTGCAAGAGTTATTCTGCAGAAAGCAACAAAAAGAGACACCGAGATGCCGACATCACACGCGAAACAAAATAGCGATTGGCGCCAGGGTATTTATTTATCATCGTAGAATTGAGACAAAATACAGACGATCATCTTCGCGTGGGATCGGAAAACGGTTATGTTTAGAGCGAGTAATGGAGATGATTAGTTTTTTAATCAAAAGTAGTAAAAAAGTCTCAATTCGATTTAACTTTGACATGGTTTAGATATTTTCTTTTCCTATTTTTATTTTCAACATTATTATATATTGATTGCTTATTGTTGAATCCGTACAAAATATATATTTGTCCCCACACATGAGCATGGTCGTGGAGAGCGTCGTATTGTACTGACGTCGTTTGGAATAATACAGAGACGTATTACGTTTTATGCATGGCCCAGTGAGGCTGCAGACATTACAACGTGACTAATAGAACACACAGGAATAAAAAACAGGCGTATACAACCCCGTGGTTCTTGAGAATGACGCGGCGATCCGCCTCCCAGTGTGATTCACTCATTCATTGATTGTTGTCGGGGTTAGAGACGCCATTGTTAATAGGGGTGATAGTATTAGAGAAATAATTACAAAATGTGCAGGGCCAAATTTACACTGACGCACATTTGGACCTGCACCACAATGAACATATTGAAGTAGATATTATGTTTGAAACGCCACTTTAAAAACATGTTTGGAAATAATTGTGTGGTTGTGTCCACGTGTGTTTGTGTCAGAGAATGTCATGTCCACGTGTTGTAGGTCTGTTTGTGTCAGAGAACGTCATGTCCACGTGTTCTATGTGTGGTTTTGTCAGAGAATCTAATGTCCCCGTGTTGAAGGTGTGGTTGTGTCAGACAATGTCATGTCCACGTGTTGTAGGTGTGGTTGTGTCAGAGAGTGTCATGTCCACGTGTTGTAGGTGTGGTTGTGTCAGAGAATGTCATGTCCACGTGTTGTAAGTGTGGTTGTGTCAGAGAATATCATGTCCACGTGTTGCAGGTCTGTTTGTGTCAGAGAACGTCATGTCCACGTGTTCTATGTGTGGTTTTGTCAGAGAATGTCATGTCCACGTGTTGTAGGTGTGGTTGTGTCAGAGAACGTCATATCCACGTGTTGTAGGTGTGGTTGTGTCAGAGAGTGTCATGTCCACGTGTTGTAGGTGTGGTTGTGTCAGACAATGTCATGTTCCCGTGTTGTAGGTGTGGTTGTGTCAGAGAGTGTCACGTCACCATGCAGTAGGTGTGGTTGTGTCAGAGTGTGTCACTTCACCATGCAGTAGGTGTGGTTGTGTCAGAGAATGTCATGTCCACGTGTTATAGGCGTGGTTGTGTCAGAGAATGCCACGTCACCGTGTAGTAGGTGTGGTTGTGTCAGAGAATGTCATGTCCACGTGTTGTAGGTGTTGTTGTGTCAGAGTGTCATGTTCACGTGTTATAGGCGTGGTTGTGTCAGAGAATGCCACGTCACCTTGTAGTAGGTGTGGTTGTGTCAGAGAATGTCATGTCCACGTGTTGTAGGTGTTGTTGTGTCAGAGAGTGTCATGTCCACGTGTTATAGGCGTGGTTGTGTCAGAGAATGCCACGTCACCGTGTTGTAGGTGTGGTTGTGTCAGAGAATGTCATGTCCACGTGTTGTAGGTGTGGTTGTGTCAGAGAATGTCATGTCCACGTGTTATAGGCGTGGTTGTGTCAGAGAATGCCACGTCACCGTGTAGTAGGTGTGGTTGTGTCAGAGAATGTCATGTCCACGTGTTGTAGGTGTTGTTGTGTCAGAGTGTCATGTTCACGTGTTATAGGCGTGGTTGTGTCAGAGAATGCCACGTCACCTTGTAGTAGGTGTGGTTGTGTCAGAGAATGTCATGTCCACGTGTTGTAGGTGTGTTGTTGTGTCAGAGAGTGTCATGTCCACGTGTTATAGGCGTGGTTGTGTCAGAGAATGCCACGTCACCGTGTTGTAGGTGTGGTTGTGTCAGAGAATGTCATGTCCACGTGTTGTAGGTGTGGTTGTGTCAAAGTATGTCATGTCCACGTGTTATAGGCGTGGTTGTGTCAGAGAATGCCACGTCACCGTGTAGTAGGTGTGGTTGTGTCAGAGAATGTCATGTCCACGTGTTGTAGGTGTTGTTGTGTCAGAGCGTGTCATGTCCACGTGTTATAGGCGTGGTTGTGTCAGAGAATGCCACGTCACCGTGTTGTAGGTGTGGTTGTGTCAGAGAATGTCATGTCCACGTGTTATAGGTGTGGTTGTGTCAGAGAATGTCATGTCCACGTGTTGTTGGTGTTGTGGTGTCAGAGAGTGTCATGTCCACGTGTTGTAGGTGTGGTTGTGTCAGAGAATGTCTTGTCCCCGTGTTGAAGGTGTGGTTGTGTCAGAGAATGTCATGTCCACGTGTTGTAGGTGTGGTTGTGTCAGAGAGTGTCATGTCCACGTGTTGTAGGTGTGGTTGTGTCAGAGAATGTCATAGCAGCGTTACTGGATGTCATGTTTATGTGCTTGATGTTTGGTTGTGTCATACTCTATATCATTCGTATTTTGGTGACATTTTATCCATTGTGCGTGACATTTTGTAACACGGATGTACCGTTTTTTCATGAAATTATTGACAACCAATTACTGCTAAAACACATTTTTCGAAGTCTTCCAACACCATTTTCTCTGGCAGGAGCCTCTAAGTTGGATTTTTTTTCCGAAAAATATATTTATTAGCACTCAGTATGCTCACGACAACTATCGACAAGGAAACGACAACCACAATAATACTGCTGCAGATTAGTGTATTGCCTGACATATGTGTTATATTTCAACAAATCCGAACATTTTTACTATTTTTATAATCCAGTTCAATCAAAACCCTACTTTACATACATGAAGTATATTAACAAATAATACAAGTACAACGTTGTCCGTTATCTTCAGGAACAGTTAGTAATTCGTTTAGCTTTTAAAATATTATGGAGGCAACCTTGATGAAATACAAGAAATGTAATTAACTATACAGTTCAAACCCAGCCATTATTCTTCGTCCATTTTAAGGGTGCTTCAAATACACAGACTATACCGCAGGCACTGCATACCAGTGCGGTATCCCATCCCACCTATGTTTACATTCCTCTGTACAGATGTTGGTTCCATATGCTGTACTCAAGCTGTACTCAAGTGGCAAATAACATTAAACAGATCTGTTTAATACGTAAGTATAACTATGTTATGACGTTACAAACATTCCTTTGTTTGTTTGCTAGAGACACGTGTGGGTGTGCATGGAACCGATGGACACCTCACTAGACAAGTTCCAGAAAACAGTCTACAACAGGGGCGACAGAATTCCAGAAACTGCACTCGCCAAGATAGCCCAACCCGTGAGTAGTACGCTTGCCCATAATCTGGAAGAACTTAGTAGGTTGCCATGGAAATGTGTCTACTACATCATTGTTATCACTCCCTGTTAGGATGTGAAAGTAGAAGGCCCAATAAAGATAGCTCTATTATTGAAGCCTCGTTCTGGTATAACACAAGTTTGGGACAGAGCAATCAGTGATTACCTGCCACTAATAAACTCTGGTTTGATAAACATTTTATCTAGTTTTCTAAACAGTTTTTCTATTTGCATGTTTGTGATAATAACGTTTTTGTTACCGAGTTGTACTGTTTATTAGTTGCAGACTTAGTATTTAGTTGTTGCAGATTAATGGTTATTTACAGACTATTTTGCTTTTGTTTTAGCAAGAAAGAATTATGATGATTGTTAAGTGTTTTTATTTATGAGCGGCGGTGGGGTAGCCTATTGGTTAAAGCGTTGGCTCGTCACGCCGAAGACCCGGGTTCGAATCTCCACATAGGTACAATATGTGAAGCCCATTTCTGGTGTCCCCCGCCGTGATGTTGCTGGAATATTGCTAAAAGCGGCGTAAAACTAAACTCAGTCAGTCAGTTTTATTTATGATGTGATGCCATGTTTTACAGCTACGTTACCACATATTTGCGTCAGTAATTGTGCCATCCATATTGCGCATTAATTATTTAAAACGAAAGATAATACAGTCAAACAGTTAGTAGGCATTTAAAACACGTGAAACTTGTATGGATATTAAAAATGGCATTATTATTTGTATGTACGGTTCGATGCTCCTTATCCATTCATCATATGCCGTGTTATTTGTACAACAATTCATGTCTTAAATACCTTATCTCTATAACTAATTTGTAATAAATTTTGCATTTAGTTGCTTTTCAGTCTGCATGCTTGGGCATTTAGTGAACTCTTACGGGTAAAAGGTAAACTACTTTACGACATGGAATGGTCTGAGGTAACGTGAGTTTAAGGTTAACTAATTTTGACCTTTAATTCAGGTGATACAGGGTCTAGACTTCCTATACCAGAAGGTTAAGGTCACACAAAGGGATTTAAAGCCCGCTGATGTCCTCCTGAACTCGAAGGGAGAGGTGAAGCTCGGGGATTTCGGGGTACGGTATACGCAACGTGGGGCCATGGCGCGACCACGTGATAACGGCAGGTGCCCCTACATGGCGGTAAGTCATACTGCTAATACCAATTATAAATAATAATTATAATAACATATCATCATTTGTATTTCGCCGATTTCATCCACTGATGCACGCAGATGGCTTTACATGTATTAATATAACACCTGTCAGTCCATAAAGGACCTCCTCCGTGATGTAGTGGTTAGAGCGTCCTCCCGGAGAACGGAAGGTCGCGGGTTCGATCCCCGACCGCGTCATACCAAAAGACGTTAAGATATGGTACTTGTTGGTCCCTGCCTGGCGCTCGGCAATAATGGGTACAACTAGGACTGGTCGGCTCGGAGTATAATGTGTCTGAGTGGGGTATTCATGCTTCACTGCGGCGTGGTATCTCAGTGGGCTAGCACTATAAAACCAGCTTAAGTCTGGGCTAGTACAAGCAGCCCCACATACACACGCATGCACGTCGTCATATGAGCAAAATATTCTCAAGCACGACGTTAAACCCAATTTCACCTCACCTCAGTCCTTAAAAAGCTCTACGGCTGTCCCTTGCCATGTCCAATGGCATGCTGCTGGAATTGAGTAGCTCACATACATTCTCTAGCCCTATCTTGGTCTATGTCCAGCAGAGGCTGCTCTCCTGTCAGTTTTTCATATACAACTTGTATGTAAAATAGGGTTTTGTTTGCCTGATTATAAAAATAGTAAAAAGGTTCGGATTTGTTGAAATATTACACATATGTCAGGCGATACACCAATCTGCACCAGACATTATTATTGTGGTTGTCGTTTCCTTGTCTATTGTTGTCGTATGCGCGGCTAGAACATTATGGGAAAAGGACGTGTGAAATAACAGACAGCATAAGATCCGCCTAAGATTCGTGACACCCTGGATACAATCTCCAGGGTATACGTTACGATCACTCTCCACCATACCCTGGATGCATCCACGGCTTGGCCCGATGATTTTACTACCTCCCTTGGCTGGCTTTTTATCCAATCAGGTGTCTACGCTGGGAAGTTGAGCGAACCCATCATAACTCACTTTCGCTTTTTAAATTATCTAACCGTTTAAACTTAGCAACACAATTGATGCAGAGGTACTCTGGTAGAAAGAGTTCTTTCATATAATCTGAGTGGCACTGCGAACAAACCTTCGCGACTGCGACCGCTATCTTTGTTGACGCTGGCAAGGATGTAACGGCGGCTTAGCTGATTGGCTACTGTGAGAATGCGGAGCCAGCAAAGGGAGGTAATATAGTTATCCGTGGATGCATCCAGGGCATAGTGGAGAGTGATCGTTAAGTATACCCTGGAGATTATCGAGGATACCATCCAACTTAAAACACGAAAACATAAGAGGCTCCTGGCAGAGAAAATGGCGTTAGAAGACTTTAGAAATGTTTATGGTTTAGCAGTAAATGGTTTCATGAAAAAACGGTACATCTATAATATCAGAGACCATATAATAGATTATATGGTCTCTGATAATATAAACTCATCTCACCTTATCCAAGCTTAAGTCGCATTTGAAGGGGTAGGCGAACACCCGTTTCATTATTTGTTACAATTTATTCCATAAAGTAAATTATATTTAGAGAGCATATTCGTTGTTTTGTTATTAATTACTATGGTGCTACACAATGATCTTTTTCTACGGTGCTTCAATGCAGCCCGACAGAATTGATCCACCGGAACCGGACCCAGGGGAGATAACTCCAAACACCATCCACACTGAGCGCTGTTCAAGGCTCTCTGTCACAGACCCTCGAGCTGATGTATGGAGTCTAGGGATCATTCTTGTGGGTAACATTTTTTCCCAGAGCCATTTAATTAGATCTGGACATGTTCGTGACATTGCGACATCATCTGCAGTTAGGTAGCGCAGTGGTTAAAGGGTCCTCTCGTTATGTCGAAGATCTGGGTTTGATTCTCTTGATGAGTACAGCGTGTATGGCCCCTTACTGGTGTCCCCTACCATGATAGTCCTCTAATATTGATAAAAATGGTATAAAATCATACTCTCTCACCGGTGTTGTTCATGAGTAACCGAAGCGTACAAATACGCCGATTATATTGTCTGTTTGTAGTGAAAACGTACCGATGAATTTCACTTTAAACAAAAAAGTTCATCAAATAAAGTGAAATTAAGATTGCAATTCCTCATAATTTTACATTGCCAATTCAACATTTAAATGTCAGAATTGTATTCAACCTACGATAAAAGTTGTGTAACAAACGATCATATATTCAAATCGCTATTATTGGTTTGTATTACAAGGGGGTAAGCATTCGTGACAAGCTCGCGTTATTCCGGGACAAGCCGAATAGCGACTCGTGCCCCTCTGGAAGGATTTCATATTGATGCTTGAACATCAGAACATTTTGAAACAAGAGCGATAACTCAATTCCTCTTTGATTCCAAGAGTACTTATCACCGAAGTACTCGTACATTGTATTGCTGTTTTGTTTTTTATTTATTCATTTTAAAGAATTAAACCTCTTTTGATACAAATAAACGAAGGAGAACAAATGTTAAAGACATATTCTAACGTAATTATAACCAGCTGTTCACCTTATATTTCCAAATGTATATTTCTAGACAGAGTTTAAGAATGACAACTGGGATTTGTTTTATTAAATCTGCAAATAAAATAATCTCTCTTTTCAGCTAAATTAAATCCTAAAGCAGATACTCAAAAATGATATATACTCAAACTGATCATTCGTGTAACCTTGCTGTCACACCCCTGGTGGAATTTTAAATGAATTCGCTGAAATAAAATATGAATGACCCCCAAAAAGTCAGACTAAAATATCCCCAAAGATGTGAAATATGTGCCCAATCTTAAAGATTTACAGTTGATTTGTTACATACAGATATAATATAATTGTTTTTAAACTCCATAACAAGCCCCGCAAGAACGTCAGAAATACGCTCAGTTGGACCCATGAGAGACGTTATATGAACAAACGCAGGTGCGTGTATTTGGATCTCTCACCGTCAATCGCATTATACTTATTAAAAACTTCACCTTAGGCAGTACAATTCTCTTAGCTACGTTCTTTGTACTTTCAACATGACGATATATATTTGTCATGATTTTTTTAAACAATGACACAACGCCATAAACGATTAAGTGTTCGGGATTATTTTTATCAAAGCACTGCATCCATTACGCGCGTTCTGATTGGTTTGTCGTATTTTCGCACATAACAAGCATCGGGACGGGGACAAGTCTTCTTGGAGGTTACGGAAAGGGGCGAGTGATGACGAATGGGGGGTAAGCGCAGTAGATGAAAAACAGTGAAACAAATGCACGTGCGGTACGTGCTGAGCGTTAACTTAAATCAACCCTACTTGTTCTCGGTGTTTCATTTAATGTGCTTACCCCCTTGTAGTACAAACCAATAATAGCGATTTGAATCTATGTTCGATTGTCACACAACTTTTATCGTAAGTTGAATAAAATTCTGACATTTAAATGTTGAATTGGCAAGGTAAAATTATGAAGATTCGATTCTGACATTCAAATGTTGAATTGGCAAGGTAAGATTATGAGGATTCGCAATCTTAATTTCACTTTATTTGATTTACTTTTATGTATAAAGTGAAATGCATGGGTACGTTTTCACTGCAAACAGACTATAGTGATTCATGACGTTGACGTTTGAATTAATAATTATCGGAACTGTTAAATAAACACTTTAAATGCACGTATACTCCAGTTTAACACATTTCCTTCAGGTTGAGATGGCGACTGGAGAATACCCCTACTCCGACTATGGCCCCCAGTTTGAATTGCTCGTCAAGATTGTAGAGCAGGACGCCCCGAGGCTTACATCTGGAGAGTTCTCGTCTGAATTTGAAGATTTCGTTTCAGTTTGGTAAGTAACTAGTAATTTCTAAAAACGGATCTACATAAGATGATGTGGTGATGAAGTGCTGTTTCATATCGTTTCGGAATTTAATTAGATGCCTATAATGTTCATTTCATATTATAATGGATATCAGTATTTCAACAGAGACGATAACCCTCGATTTATCGTTTGGAAATACTCAAGTAAAATTCGTTTAAAGGGTTTCTTCTTTTCTCTTTTAGTTTAAAGAAGAATTACCGCGAAAGGGCGACTTTTGAGCAACTCCTGTCCCACCCGTTTCTGGAAGGCGGATCTGGGGGAATAGACATGGCGGCATATTTGAATTCCTATGGCGAGCTGGCCAAATGTTGACTGCATAACACTGCTGACGTCATCGTCTGACAAAAGCGGTGGATGTCCTGTTGAACTGTTGAACATAGGCACTCAAAGCTTTCAGAAAGGAAAGGTCTAATTTTCGTACTGTTTCGATGGATAATGTGCTTGTTCTGTCTAAATGGGAAACAACCTTTCGAATGCCCAATACATGCAACGTCTCAAATATATATTTCGGTACACGTTCCCAGTCGTGTACTTCTTGTCTTCAGGAACTCAATGTACTGCTGGATCTACGCTACTGTTTACCCTATTGTGCAATTAATTCTGTCAAGCTACGGTCTTGAGCTTTTTGTAATGTTTGTGTTTACTGGAGTTGTGTTGACGTGACCGCAAATATATGCCCGGAAGTGAATCGCCGGATGTCTGTCTCCGGAAGTGTTTGCCCCGGAAGTTTGGAAATCTGTCTGTCTCGACGCATGTGTCACTGTTTCAGCCATTCGTAACTACTCGTGTAATTCCGGCAAGCCGGATAGCGACACTACCCCTCTCGTGGCCATAATCACGACTGGGCCTTGTCAAAGCGCAAACGGACACGGAGATGAGAATAGTCTAGGACTATTTCCCAAAAAAGATAACTCTGAATTTCCAAACATGGCTACTTCTAGAAAACGCCAAGTAATTCATAACACAATACGAAAGTCACTTTTAGTAAATTCTTATGTCGTGAACAAATATTAGTAACAAGGTAATTTTATGTTCACGGAAATAATAATGAAAATCGATAATCGCAAAGAAACTATTTGACCTCATTGCACATTTTACTACGCGCGATTTAATTGGTTGTCACGATTCTTGGCAATAATGGCATCCTATACAGGTCTTCTTGTAGGTCACGAAAAGAGGCGAGTAGTTACGAATGTGTTTCAGCCAGAGCTTCTTTGTTAGATGGTTTTGGTGTTTTGAAATCGGTAAGAAATATCTTGTATTAATGTACGCAAAACAGTAAACTATTGTGATATAGAATGTATATTTACGTAAAAAAAATGCAATGTCTGTGATATGGCTAGGCTGCTTCAACATTGCCATGTATTTTGGTCAACAACCATAAAGCATAGATAAATGTAAATACTATATTGATTGTTATGTAAGTTTACAGATTAGAGAGGTAGGTAAATTGTCTATATTTGAAAGTTGATGTTATGAAATCATGAAAGTACTGCCGTGATTTCTTGGAAGTGATATATACGGTTATTCTATAAATGAAAAAACGTGTGCTTACGTTTTTACATGGTCAGCCGCCATTGCTGACAAGTAACTGCTGTCCTATTTGTGAAAATTATACTTTTTGTCCCGCTTCTGCTTTTTGTGACCAGAAGGTTCATGTGAATGTCAGAATTCCCTTCCATTGCTCAACATAACCATCACTGATATTTGTTTTCCTCAAGCCTAGAATGGCAATTTGTAAATTCCTGCAAATACGGTGGTAAGATGGTATGTCCTCACTGAAGGATGTTATACTGATAGGCGCAGATGGTCTTAAATATATATGGTGGTCAATTCGAATTCCTGTGCGAGGAGATAAATATTATTTGGTTAAAAGGACTGTGAAATAAATTTTGACCTTGAAATATGGTGTTAAATTAAGGACACATTTTTGGACAAAACCAAAAATTCCGGTCATTCAGTATTTCTTTGGATTTCAAGGGATTATTTTGTAATATTTATAATTTTTGTATAATTTTGTATAACATATTTGTATGGTATGGTACTTCCACATTCTACAACGAACTTGTTTTTGTCCATGCTGGGCGGTATGAGGGAACAGACTCTTCCCATTGTTATTTTTTCAGTTATACACATTGATGGTAAACGCATTGTTTGTTATTGTATGCATGCCATATATCGCGCCTCTTTCTGTATCTTCCTGAGTTAACTGACTGTGAAAGTCCAGTTTACACCATTGCAGGACAAGGATGGGATTTCTGAGGTAACAACTAACTAGTCTCCGTCTACGTGTAGTCCAATCAAAACGTGTGTAACAAAATCGACATCTGGTTCATAACAACGTGCACATTTCGGTCGATAGAAGGATTTGGCGTCCACAGATGTCCACCCCCCCCAACCCCAGCCCCACCCCCCCACCCCGATCAGCCCCAATCAAACACATCATGTTTATAATTAACATGAAAAATAATTTGATGCACCCATTTTGTTACAATATAGATCTTGTCGATCAAGTCATCTTGAGTGGTCGCCGCCATTTTGTTTAAACCAATCAAGTGGTATGACAGGTCCAATCTTATTGGTCAGTAGCCATTGTTTGCGCTACGATCAAGCCACGAAATTCCAGCCTTGTTTGTCTTTAGTTGAATTTGGACTTGGACTAGCCAGTTGCTGTGGGGAGATGCTTGTTCTGATGCAACATGTTTATATAACCTGATATCAAACATATGTTGATATACTTTGTATGGTGATGGAGATATCGAATGAAATGGGAGCATTTGATTTTTATAGGTGAAATTAGATTAAGTGGACGAGTTAGGGGTTGAGATACTGATGAATGCTTACAGATAAAATATAGATCTGGATTTTATTTCACGTATAAAGCGACATCCCTGCATGCGTTCTTGGACTGGTCCAGACTGAGACGTGGACGTGGATGCAACACTCAGGCACATTGTACTGAGGGGACCAGTCCTTATTTTATACTGAACGCTAGTCAGGGTAAGAGCAAGTTCCATCTTTTAATGCAATTAGTATGACACTGTCAGGGGATATTGAACTCTCGATATGTCCACATCCTGCTGTAGGTTTGTGTACGGTGATCATAGTGTTATGCAGAAAAGATGTGATACATAATTTTCTATATTGTAGTGTAACAATAGCGGGTAAGGGACTGTTCATACTTTATGGCTAGGGGAGAGGTGATGATGATTTTGATGGAGTAGCATGTACAATGTGAATGACCCCCACCTCCCCTTCCCACCACCCACCACCCCATACATGTCATGTACAAAATGCACCCTTTCCATAATTTTATGCATTTTAAAAAATTATCTGATATTGCTCCCCACCCCTGCATGTGTACAAAACTGATGACCCCCTACCTCCCCAGAACAAGACGGGTTACACCTCCACCCCTTACAATCATCATCACGCACTTCAGCCATAAATTATGAACGGTCCCTAATGCAATTATACAAAATAATGTCTGCACCTGCTACAGTTCCATCTGTTCAGGGTACCAAAGTTGGGCAACATTAACTGTACCAGGATACACAGTGAACGTGGGTTGAACTGGATTCGAAGCTGTTTTCGTACAATGAGCTGACATGTCGTGGTATAATTGAAATACAGCCCAAAGTCGAGTTATTAAACCCAACCAAACCAGTTATCGCTGTGGTATGGTTCCACTGTAATATATCGAAAACCAACAGCTTCCTTTCTCATGTAAGATAATAAGTTCAGACATAATCCCTTTGTATGAAGCAGGTCGCCTGTTTTCTTATGCAGAAAGAAAACCGCCATTAACGGGTCAAATGCCAGTCGATATTTCGTCCAAGTCTTGCCTCTGTATAGTCCTGTGAACCGATGTGGAATGCTTTTACAACGCTGGGTACACTGCTTTTGTCCACAACTGCCAAAAGGCAACAACATGTCATATTTTCTTTTTAAAAGCAATAAAAATATTTGTGCTGCTCCTCTTTTTGTTGTGCCAATGCAAATTTTGCTGGATCTTTAAAGTCATCCATATATACTATTCACACTTTGCTAAGAATCAAATCATGGATTCAACAGAAAGCTATTATGTGGGGTCAATTTGGTTTAAATAACTAAGCTTATTGTAAGCATGGAGCCTAGGTTTCAGTATGTCACTGCATCTTGTGGATCCCATACCTGCTACTGACAGGTGTTGTGTACTTGTCAGTGACTCGTTCCATGATTTGCAAAATGGTGGATTGGTGCCTTTAAACCATGTTTATGGTTACTCATGTATCAAGTGCATAAGCTTAGATTAAAGTGACTGTTTACCTAAAGAGGGGTTACCATATTATTATTTACCCAGTTTTAAATGGATACAATTTCAAATTATGAATCTACGTTTACGTGAAGTTGTGAATTTTTGTGATCCTTAGTTAAGTGTGGGTACTATATTTAATGAATAGGAGGGTGTTGCTAGCTGTTTATATGAAACTGGCATGTCGTAAAATGGCATGTCGTAATATTTGAAGACAGCTTTGGTGATAATTCCCCACATGGGTACAATGCGTGAAACCCATTTCTGGTGTCCCCCGCCGTGTTATTGATGGAAATTGATAAAAGCGGCGTAAAACAATACTCACTCACTCTCACTTTGGTGATACTTTCACGACAAGGTAAATCCTGTTTTGCACGCACGCCGTACACGGGTGGACCTAGTTTAACCTCTGGATGACATGTGAACTGTGATCACCTGAAACTGTCACCTGAGTGAGATGATATTCTTATGACGTTTGACAAATTCGTAATAAAAGATAAAAGGTCCTCATAAAGAGACAATATGTTACTACACAGTCGTCATGTTAGACACGTAAAGTAATAACCCTAAATCGACAACAAGTCAGGTTAGCCGGTAACAACAAGATTAACTGGTATAAATGACTACACCCGAAACAGGTGGGTGTTTTTGTTCAACGCCGCTCTCAGCAATATTCCAGCTATATTCCAGCGACGGTCTGTAAATAATCGAGTCTGGACCACACAATCCAGTGTTCAACAGTATGAGCATACGATGACATGTGTCAACCAGGTTAGCGAGCCTGACCACTCTCTCAGCACGGGTTGCTGAAGATCAGTTCTATCCTCGGGTTACACTCATCAATAATGATGACGTCAAATGTACTCCAATTCAGCCAGTCTTATCGGTCAGTATTTTGGAGGTCTCATTTTGGAGTCTCTATATCGAAATAGAAAGTAGAACCAAAACGAATCGAAATAGAAAGTAGAACCAAAACGAATCACCACCTTACCAAGGTGTGCAATATAAACACATAGGTGTAGATTTACATCGTCTTTGCAAAGACATGTTTTTTCTAAGTCATTTATGAGTCGTTTCCAGTTTCAATAGACCGTTGCGAGTCTTGGATTTTGTGAGATTAACCGGATTCGAATGAATCAAATTACTTACTCATGTCTGTCATTAATTCAAATGAGTCTAAAGGAACTTTCACTTAAATGTGAAGTGAGACAACATCCTAATAATCTAAAGCTTTTGTTGTAGTCTCACACGAGCAATACGTGTTTCGATCTACGTTGTCATGACGATCGCGGTCAATAGCACTTACAGTCACAGTGATCCAATTATAAACAATCGATTCTTTCTTGGACAACTACAAAAGCATCTGGTCAATTTGGGACGATGTATTCAAATAAACATTATGAAATATGTAATATAATCACAAAAACATATATGCGTCTTCCAGTATAAAAACTCTTCTTTGTAATCAATTTGAAGAATCATATTGATTATGTTTTACTGAAATAGAAACGCCTTATGGCATGAAGAACGACGCAGACATATTATATAGTTTATTTACAGTATGGTGTCAGTGTCTGGAGTTTACTGTCATTACAAACTTTCTTACCATTGTACTCGGTGCTATCAACTCTCCTGTGGCACCAAAGAATCATCAATAATATAACCACAACTGTTTCTGTACCAGTACGAATAAGACAGCAAGTTATCATTGTTCCAGTGTCATCTAAGATGTGGCCGTGATTGTTTTCTTTAAAGTAGTATATACAATGGGGGTTCTGGACCACTTTCAACCAAAGCCTCTGCAAAGCCTTATTTCACAAGTAAGGCTTTGGTCGGACCCTTAGCTCTTGCTACCATTACCCCTACTATGAAAAAGTTTGGGGGACCTCCTAGCCGCGCCGGGGGTATGGCTGGAGTGTGTTGGTATCCTGGGATTGTATGGGCTGCGTCTAACGTGCCGCTATGCCATGTTTACCTCGATGAAACAGTTTAATGTGAATCGCCTATGATCTCCTTGGTGTTTGTAATAAAGGCTTGCCGGGCTTTTTTCACCCCTTGTTCTATGTACTTTTTTTTCTCATCCTCGCTGATAGTAGACTTACGAGACTTGGATCGAATCTCTTGTTTCATTTTGTTATATTTTGTGAGTTCAGAGAGGATTGAACTAAACTCCTCCTCTGAGATCTTACTGTCAGTAAGTGCCGTGGAAATACGCTCACTTACTGTGTTCAGTTTTGCTTCGGCCAGAACCCTGATCTCGTCGTGTTTCAATGCCTTACGATGAAGTCTGCGTGATGCCAACTTAAGCGCCAACCCTAACACCCCTGCCACCCCAGCTGTTATTTCAATGCCTAGCACTACGGGGGTAGCCACGATGGTAGCTAACAACCCAACACCTGCCGCTCCCAGCCCCATGCTGGTTGCCATAAGGGCAGTATCAGCCCCGTCCACGATATTGAAAGCTCTATGGTACTTCTTACACAGTGCTTTCCGCGTGTCGCGGTCTTGCTCTAGTTGACGTTTTACATCACATAACTGTCTCAAGCGGAACCGTCTACGGTTTCCAGGGTCTTCGCTACTTCCTCTACGACTGGGTATAGCCCCATCCTATAATATATATTACAAAAGATATTTTAATTGGATTTCATTTAGTAGTCGGTCAACGTACCTGAGGTTTATAAAACTGAGATTCTCGTATGTGTAGATAAGGGAAGGGTCAATAGGTAACTTTTGGTATATCTCAACGCCAAAGCAGTATATTATTGGGGGGTAGTAATCCCTGTTGGGAGCTTCCAAATCGTATAACGAATCTGCAACGTGTAAAACCTTGTCCTACAGTTAAGTCACCCCAACGTATTGTTACACCGGGTAAAATCTGCAAGTTTGGGGATGGGATATTTCTATTCGAATCAAACTTACCCTTGTGAGCGACTTCTACGATGAGTGTGGAGCCTGGTTCCATAGCCTTAACCCCCTACTATGTTATGATGGTGGGTGGCTATTAACTGGGATTGCCTGGGTGAAATTAACAGGGTGTCCCTAGGTAAATATTCGGAGTCAGAAAGTATCACCTTTCCAGTTGGAATGAAAGACGTGATCAAGGTACCGTTGTTCTTAATTTCAGAGACATAACCATCTTTGTCTAATGAGATATAAGGTGAGGCGAGGGTTAAGTTGAGTAACCATTCAGGCTCTTTAAAATCTGTTAACGACACCCGCCTATACACGTTGTCTTTCAAGTGTAGGAGGTATAAGCCGTCCTCACCAGGTTGATCAAATCCCTCCGTGTCCCTTAGGCCCTCGAGTGTGGGCTTGGGTAGATGATCGGCCATTGCTGCCCGCCTATACACGTTGTCTTTCAAGTGTAGGACGTATGAGCCTTCCTCACCAGGCTGGTCGAATCCCTCCGTGTCCCCTAGGTCGTTAAGCGTAGTGTTGGGGTGATGACTGGTCATTGCTATAATACTACTACGATATAATTTCCAACTGGTTTTCTGATAATAGTTCAGGGGTGAACTTCACCCCCATGAAGTGTATGTTGTCAGGTAGGAATATCTTGGTTAGTGATATCGTGTTTTCCACGATCACGGTGACACCCTGCAGACTGGTGTTGGAGCCGACACCCACCCGCACGTAAACGTTGCAAACTTGATACTGGTGTCGTTTCACCCACCCGAGTTTGATCCCCTTCACGATCTCGACATCACCCCGCGATGGTTCCCCTAGGTAGACTTTGATGATCAGTGTTGAGTTTGCCGGTAGACTCTCCAGTATCCTGACCACGCCTTCGAATTCAGACACCAACTGCAATGTCACGTTTTGCATGTTCGGTTTACTCGATAGCATATGGGCTGCCATACTGGCGACTGGGCTGATGGCTACGCTACGTCTCTGAGTCGGGACGTAAGCCACGAGCAGGGTTCCGTTGTTAACGACTTTGTTTAGGTGGTTGTCTTTGTTATCCGTGAACACGTAGGGGGAGCCGAGCCTAATATTGAGAAACCAGTCGTCTTTATCGGGTAACAACACCCACTTGTCATCTTCGGTGAAGACAAGTGTATATGGCTTGTTTCGGGCGACGGTAGTGCTCTCAACATCGTCTAAGTCGAACAGTTTGCCCCCGAACGATGGGTATATTATCCAGTTATCATCACCGGTGTTGACAAGGGTGTACTTAGTGTTGACTGTTGCTCTTGTGGTATCTACTATATCACCTAGGGCTCCACCGGAGG